CAGCTATCATATCTATATCATGTCAAAGGTTTATTAGTTTAATTATAAGTAGTTGGAATTCTTTACCAATCAGATAGACAGTTAATGTCCTGAATTTACTGTAGACATATAAACCAACCATACAATTGTATAGATTAAATGTCATTCCAGGTATGTCATTTTTTATGACAGTGTTAAAGCATAGAGTTAATTTTAGAATGCACCCTTTGAAATACTGACATCTGACTGGGGGTTTGAGGAGATCTCATACACCCTCCTTTAAAGACAGGTAGAGCAATCACATTCACACACCTCTTCCCTATGTGACAGAGTCATCATATCTACACAACCCTCCCATTTGTTACAAGTAGGGCAATCACATCTAAACACCCCTCCCCACTGTTGCAGGTAGGGTTATCACATCTACAAGCCCCTCCCCACTGTTACAGGTAAGGTTATCACATCTATATGCCCCTCCCCACTGTTACAGATAGGGTTATCACATCTGCATGCCCCTCCCCTTTGTTACTGGTAGGGTTATCACATCTACATACCCCTCCCCTTTGTTACAGGTAGGGTTATCACATCTGCTTGCCCCTCCACTTTGTTACTGGTAGGGTTATCACATCTACATACCCCTCCCCTTTGTTACAGGTAGGGTTATCACATCTGCTTGCCCCTCCACTTTGTTACTGGTAGGGTTATCACATCTACATACCCCTCCCCTTTGTTACAGGTAGGGTTATCACATCTGCTTGCCCCTCCACTTTGTTACTGGTAGTGTTATCACATCTACACCACCCTCCTCCTTGTGACAAGTGGGCTCATCAAATCTTCATATCCCTCCCTCCTCTTTGTTATAGATAGGGTAATCACATCTTGTCACCCCACTTCTTTGTGACAGAGTAATCACATCTTGTCACCCCACTTCTTTATGACAGATAGAGTAATCACATCTTGTCACCCCACTTCTTTGTGACAGATGGGGCCATCATATCTATAACTCCTCCTTTGTGACAGATGGGGTAATCACATCTAGTCACCCCACTTCTTTGTGACATATGGGGCCATCCTATTTAAAACTCCTCCTTTGTGGCATATGGGGTCATCACATCTTGTCACCCCACTTCTTTGTGACAGATAGAGTAATCACATCTTGTCACCCCACTTCTTTGTGACAGATGGGGTCATCACATCTAGTCACCCCACTTCTTTGTGACAGATAGAGTAATCACATCTTGTCACCCCACTTCTTTGTGACAGATAGAGTAATCACATCTTGTCACCCCACTTCTTTGTGACAGATGGGGCCATCATATCTATAACTCCTCCTTTGTGACAGATGGGGTCATCACATCTAGTCACCCCACTTCTTTGTGACATATGGGGCCATCCTATTTAAAACTCCTCCTTTGTGGCATATGGGGTCATCACATCTTCATATCCCTCCCTCCTCTTTATTATAGATAGGGTAATCACATCTTGTCACCCAACTTCTTTGTGACAGATAGAGTAATCACATCTTGTCACCCCACTTCTTTGTGACAGATAGAGTAATCACATCTTGTCACCCCACTTCTTTGTGACAGATAGAGTAATCTCATCTTGTCACCCCACTTCTTTGTGACAGATAGAGTAATCACATCTTGTCACCCCACTTCTTTGTGACAGATAGAGTAATCACATCTTGTCACCCCACTTCTTTGTGACAGATAGAGTAATCACATCTTGTCACCCCACTTCTTTGTGACAGATAGAGTAATCACATCTTGTCACCTCACTTCTTTGTGACAAATGGGGCCATCACATCTAGTCACCCCACTTCTTTGTGCAGATGGGGCCATCATATTTATAACTCCTCTTTTGTGGCATATGGGGTCATCACATCTACACACACCTCCATAACTCATCACACAGGATGTAGGTAAGTGGGCATTCTGTTTATGATAAAGTAGGTGGGTAGGGAAGTATGCAAATCAATAATCATTTGTGGTAGGGGAACTATGCCCTTTCAGCCAGGTCTTCAGCAATCTGATCAAATCTTAACTATTATCTGCTCTGCCAAGAATCCTTATGTGTGATAACTTATGTACCTTCTTAGAAAGGTAAAGGATTCCTTTTAACTTGCAAAGTAAGGTGCAGTGTATCTTTAAAGGAGGTAATTAAGTGTACAAAATACCTGCATATCAGTGTGCAATTGATTAAACCAGAAAACCTTTGTCAAAATGTCAGATTTCTTGGGCGGACACTCCTCATTTCAAAAGCAACTTAAATTTCAGAACTTATTTAATATATCCAGTGTATTTTGTGTATGCCAAGAATATCAAAGTTATGTTGTGTGTAAAACTTATGAACAAAATATACAACTTATCCTTCTTGTATGTAAAAGTGATGTACATATATACAACAAGTGTATCTTGTATGTAAAAATGATGTACAAAATATACAAGTGTATCTTGTATGTAGGAATGTTGTACCATATATACACAAGTGTATCTTGTATGTAGGAGTGTTGTACCATATATACACAAGTGTATCTTGTATGTAGGAGTGTTGTACCATATATACACAAGTGTATCTTGTATGTAGGAGTGTTGTACCATATATACACAAGTGTATCTTGTATGTAGGAGTGTTGTACCATATATACACAAGTGTATCTTGTATGTAGGAGTGTTGTATCATATTTACACAAGTGTATCCCTGTATGTAGGAGTGTTGTACCATATATACACAAGTGTATCCCTGTATGTAGGAGTGTTGTACCATATATACACAACTGTATCCCTGTATGTAGAAGTGTTGTACCATATATACACAAGTGTATCCCTGTATGTAGGAGTGTTGTACCATATATACACAAGTGTATCTTGTATGTAGGAGTGTTGTACCATATATATAACAAGTGTATCTTGTATGTAGGAGTGTTGTACCATATATACACAAGTGTATCTTGTATGTAGGAGTGTTGTACCATATATACACAAGTGTATCTTGTATGTAGGAGTGTTGTACCATATATACACAAGTGTATCTTGTATGAAGGAGTGTTGTACCATATATACACAAGTGTATCTTACAACTAGTGAATCTGGTGGGTATATACCTGAAGTACAACTGATATGTTGTGTGATATACCCAGTGTATGACTAATGTATTTACATACCTATACATGTATATGTGGTGACATTAGACAGTAAATCTACATACTTAGCTATGTGGTGACATTAGACAGTAAATCTACATACTTAGCTATGTGGTGACATTAGACAGTAAATCTACATACTTAGCTATGTGGTGACATTAGACAGTAAATCTACATACTTAGCTATGTGGTGACATTAGACAGTAAATCTACATACTTAGCTCTGTAGTGACATTAGACAGTAAATCTACATACCTATCTATGTGTACCTACACTTGTAAGTAAATATACCTATCTATATACCCTATAGAGAAATGTTTACTACAAACAAATACAAATAGGTTATGAATTTCAAGATGTGTTTTGATTCCTGAAAAAAAAATTATATCATAACACAAAGACATGACTGAAGTGTCAAAGCTGGTGCTAGCAACACAATGAGGGCATGTGTGTAAAGGGACACAACTCCTATTACCTCCCAACCCCTCCCCTCTTTTCCTCAGGCAGAAATATAGTGTAATATCTGCAACAGTATAAAATCTCATTTTATCCGAATGATATCTGAGAGGAAAAAAACATCTTTTAGGAAAATGCTAAGGCCACAGGCCAGACCTGTATTTTTTTCAATGAAATAAGAAGGAAAATTTGATGAAAGCTGTTCCAAAATATTAAATGAAATAATAAACGAAGTCCAATAACTGTAAATAAGAGAGCGCATATTAAAAATCATGAGCTTTTTTTAATGAAGTTTGGTGAAATTCCATTAAGAAATTAACTTGTGAGAATGCCAATCAAAAATATGTGAAGGAAATGAAGTATGGACAATAAGGGAGCTCATGTTATAACATCAAAACCTATCAGTAAAAATTGCTGAAATAAACCCATGTATTATCATGTTATGTGAAATTCTGTAGAGAGATAAAGTTTTAGAACTCTGACAGTGTAACATACCTACGTAAGTACATGCTTACAACCATTTGTATAATCCAAATCCTATATCCCTCCAAAATCTGTCTGTGAGAGGATAATAAGAGTACCATGAGTGGAACAATACATACCTGTCCCATCCCAAAAGAAATACATTTTTGCAAATACAAATATGGAAATGAGATAATAATTTTATAAAAGAAAGTTCATTTTCACTTAGTATAATCTGGCAAATGTGAAAAAAGAGAGCAATAACTGTTGATTCAAAATGCAGTTAAGGAAACACAATTTTCAGCTTTCAAGAATGTAAGTCAAGGCGGAGACCTCTTTACAAGATTAAGATGAAAATAAAGCCAGACAGTAACTTCTCCATTGCTTATTAAATCAAGCTTCCATTCATTCTGGAAAACTCAACTTCATATCATCATGATTAAGCAAACGAAAGTTTGAAAGAGTCGATCACTATGGGAGAATATCAGGTCTGAATCTATTGTTTCTCTCTTCTTTTCTCCTCTTCCAAATTGATACCAAAATAAAATCTGCACAAGTACAAGAAGTATCTAACTGGAACTTCCATATCAAGTCTGAGAGTATTGCATCCTGAACTGATCAAGAAAAAGAAAAAACTAATTCTAACAATCTAAGTTAGATGTCAGCTGACCATTTTACTTACTTATGACCAAGCCAGTCCCAACATGGACAATGTACAAATAGGTACCATGAGGAACCTACTTATGAAATTTAAGAAAGATTGATTCAGTAGGTCATGAGAAAAAGGGATGATCAGAATTGTTAAAGGACTGAATGACGAACAGGTCACAGACAATGAACTTCAATTGGAGGGTGATTGTAACAGTCCACTATCTGATGATGGTTGGCTTAAAAACAAACTGAATATAAGAAAATGGTGAGAAAAAAAAACAATCACAACTACAACCACATTAAATAATTTTATTTATTTGTAATTTCTGACTGTGATAATGGACATAATAAAGCTAGTACAGAAAATACTATAAAATATACATGTAACTGTTATAATATAATAGTGACCAGCACACTTAGAACTGGGATTTACACCATCCTGACGTCATCACATCTCCAAACAATCTCAATTTTCCATGACGAACAACCATTACTAAATTCTCTAACAATCATAAAAAGGTTCTCTCTCACAGATGGTTTCTTTACCACTATTAAAACCACTATTAATTTGCTTTGTATTTCAGTATATTAGAACTGAGCTGATTTTGACTTATGATTCATGTGAGGGAGATATGGATGACTTGGTACACCTGTGAAGGAGATATGGATCACTGGGCACTAATTTGTACAATATCACATATTTCAGTTCTGCCTGCTCAGACACAACCTACTGATCACATTCATCCACAGTTAATATATCATTAATGTCATCATTATGTCCTGTACTTCAAGTCACAATGTCCTCACTGAAGTCACCATGTCATGTCACGATTCTCACTGAAGTCACCTTGTCATGTCACAATGTCCTCACTGAAGTCACCTTGTCATGTCACAATGTCCTCACTGAAGTCACCTTGTCATGTCACAATGTCCTCACTGAAGTCACCTTGTCATGTCACAATGTCCTCACTGAAGTCACCTTGTCATGTCACAATGTCCTCACTAAAGACACCTTGTCATGTCACAATGTCCTCACTGAAGTCACCTTGTCATGTCACAATGTCCTCACTGAAATCACCTTGTCATGTCACGATCATCACTGAAGTCACCTTGTCATGTCACGATCATCACGATCATCACTGAAGTCACCTTGTCATGTCACAATCATCACTGAAGTCACCTTGTCATGTCACAATGTCCTCAATGAAGTCACCTTGTCATGTCACAATGTCCTCACTGAAGTCACCTTGTCATGTCACAATTCTCACTGAAGTCACCTTGTCATGTCACGATCCTCACTGAAGTCACCTTGTCATGTCACGATCCTCACTGAAGTCACCTTGTCATGTCACAAATCTCACTGAAGTCACCTTGTCATGTCACGATTCTCACTGAAGTCACCTTGTCATGTCACAATCCTCACTGAAGTCACCATGTCATGTCATAATGTCCTCCCTCACTGAATGTCACCTTGTCATGTCACAATGTCCTCACTGAAGTCACCTTGTCATGTCTCAATGCCCTCACTGAATGTCACCTTGTCTTTGGGTGTAAAGTTTTTCTCACGTTCTTCTGAAGAGACATTTGTAAGAATCTCATCAACAAGTCCTTTATTTGAAGAAAAGTATTTTTGTAGCTCCTCCTCAGTTGATTGGGCAATTTGTCGGCGGAGAAACTCCACTTCCCGTGCTAGTAACTGACGGTCTCGGTTAAGCTTACTCTGACTAGCTATGAGGTCTAGTACCTGGAATAAGAAACAAATGATGATATTTATAGTTACCAGTGTAATTAATTAGATTAACATTGTAATGATCACTATATATGGACAATGAGTCTCTCTAGCAAGCATAGTGAATCGATGTTATGAATGAAGGACTCAACTGCATAAGTGATAGTATAACACACTTTGCTTGAATTTTGCACATTTTGAAAATAAAGTCTGTTAGAAATAAGATCTTTATACAGAATTTGTTGAACTGGAGTTTTCTTTCAAAGTATCTCTATAGATTAAATATTGTAATTTTGTATTTAGGAAATGAATTATGGATATTCTTATTGTTGGTTTCGTTGCTGTGGTATTAGAAAAAACAGAAACAATAGACTGTTCCATATTGGTAGTTTAAAGGGCAGCAAACTGAATGTTTTGGCTATTTTTTTACTGCAAACTTTGGAATAGATAAAATCAAAACTGCCTTTTTAATGAAGAAAACCTTTAAATATAAGGGTTTGCCAGTTAATTGTAGCTTTCCTCATATAATGTAAACATGACAGAATGTAAATCCTTAAATAACAGAGAATACAGATAAAGGTATGGACAGCTATATCACCAACAAGTGATAATAAAACAGATAAAGGTATGGACAGCTATATCACCAACTAGAGATAATAAAACAAATAAAGGTATGGACAGCTATATCACCAACTAGAGATAATAAAACAGATAAAGGTATGGACAGCTATATCACCAACTAGAGATAATAAAACAGATAAAGGTATGGACAGCTATATCACCAACTAGAGATAAAAAAACAGATAAAGGTATGGACAGCTATATCACCAACTAGAGATAATAAAACAGATAAAGGTATGGACAGCTATATCACCAACTAGAGATAATAAAACAGATAAAGGTATGGACAGCTATATCATCAACTAGAGATAAAAAAACAGATAAAGGTATGGACAGCTATATCACCAACTAGAGATAAAAAAACAGATAAAGGTATGGACAGCTATATCACCAACTAGAGATAATAAAACAGATAAAGGTATGGACAGCTATATCACCAACTAGAGATAATAAAACAGATAAAGGTATGGACAGCTATATCACCAACTAGAGATAATAAAACAGATAAAGGTATGGACAGCTATATCACCAACTAGAGATAATAAAACAGATAAAGGTATAAACAGCTATATCACCAACTAGAGATAATAAAACAGATAAAGGTATGGACAACTATATCACCAACTAGAGATAAAAAAACAGATAAAGGTATGGACAGCTATATCACCAACTAAAGATAATAAAACAGATAAAGGTATGGACAGCTATATCACCAACTAAAGATAATAAAACAGATAAAGGTATGGACAGCTATATCACCAACTAGAGATAATAAAACAGATAAAGGTATAAACAGCTATATCACCAACTAGAGATAATAAAACAGATAAAGGTATGGACAGCTATATCACCAACTAGAGATAAAAAAACAGATAAAGGTATGGACAGCTATATCACCAACTAAAGATAATAAAACAGATAAAGGTATGGACAGCTATATCACCAACTAGAGATAAAAAAACAGATAAAGGTATGGACAGCTATATCACCAACTAGAGATAATAAAACAGATAAAGGTATGGACAGCTATATCACCAACTAGAGATAATAAAACAGATAAAGGTATGGACAGCTATATCACCAACTAGAGATAATAAAACAGATAAAGGTATGGACAGCTATATCACCAACTAGAGATAATAAAACAGATAAAGGTATGGACAGCTATATCACCAACTAGAGATAAAAAAACAGATAAAGGTATGGACAGCTATATCACCAACTAGAGATAATAAAACAGATAAAGGTATGGACAGCTATATCACCAACTAGAGATAAAAAAAACAGATAAAGGTATGGACAGCTATATCACCAACTAGAGATAATAAAACAGATAAAGGTATGGACAGCTATATCACCAACTAGAGATAATAAAACAGATAAAGATATGGACAGCTATATCACCAACTAGAGATAATAAAATACAGATAAAGGTATAAACAGCTATATCACCAACTAGAGATAATAAAACAGATAAAGGTATGGACAGCTATATCACCAACTAGAGATAATAAAACAGATAAAGGTATGGACAGCTATATCACCAACTAGAGATAATAAAACAGATAAAGGTATGGACAGCTATATCACCAACTAGAGATAATAAAACAGATAAAGGTATGGACAGCTATATCACCAACTAGAGACAATAAAACAGATAAAGGTATGGACAGCTATATCACCAACTAGAGATAATAAAACAGATAAAGGTATGGACAGCTATATCACCAACTAGAGATAAAAAAACAGATAAAGGTATGGACAGCTATATCACCAACTAGAGATAATAAAACAGATAAAGGTATGGACAGCTATATCACCAACTAGAGATAATAAAACAGATAAAGGTATGGACAGCTATATCACCAACTAGAGATAAAAAAACAGATAAAGGTATGGACAGCTATATCACCAACTAGAGATAATAAAACAGATAAAGGTATGGACAGCTATATCACCAACTAGAGATAAAAAAAACAGATAAAGGTATGGACAGCTATATCACCAACTAGAGATAATAAAATACAGATAAAGGTATGGACAGCTATATCACCAACTAGAGATAATAAAACAGATAAAGGTATAAACAGCTATATCACCAACTAGAGATAATAAAACAGATAAAGGTATGGACAACTATATCACCAACTAGAGATAAAAAAACAGATAAAGGTATGGACAGCTATATCACCAACTAGAGATAATAAAACAGATAAAGGTATGGACATCCATATCACCAACTAGAGATAATAAAACAGATAAAGGTATGGACAGCTATATCACCAACTAGAGATAATAAAACAGATAAAGGTATAAACAGCTATATCACCAACTAGAGATAATAAAAAACAGACCAAGTGAGACCAAAAGTAAAACCTGTAATTTGGAACATACCAGTACACATGAGAGTTTTACACTTCAACATAGATTGTGTAATACAGTACCATTAGACGCTACATCCTGATGACAATTGATGCTGTAATATGATTGGTCTATCAATGACAGACAGGTTTATGTAGAGCTGCGCCTAAGATTTACCTGCTGTGATTGAGTCTGCGTATGATCATCCATCATCTTCAGCCTCTCCTTCATTTTTTCATGTACACGAGAATGTTGATCTCCAGTGTCTTCCAGATCCTTTAGGCGGGTCACAGCACGATCCAGGCGCATTCGCAACTCTTCATTTTGCTTTTTTAAATTACCATTTTGGGTCCTTCACAAAAACAAAACAGAAACAAAAATGTTAAAACTCAATTAAGATATATAACTTCAACTGAACAGGTCAAAAATTGAATTGATAAAAAAACAGGAGTGAAAACAAAATATTTTGAGTGAAACAGCATCAAATAAAACTGAAAGAATGCTTACTGCCAACACCGATAATGAGATACTGAGGATGTGGTGTGAAATAGCTGGGTATGTATTGTAGAAAAAACAAAATATCTGTATCAGGTATCAGAATCATGTCTTATGTGTATCAAAATATACACAATGTTTACATATGTGGTAAGAGATTGGTGAATTTGGTAACACAAAACTCCAACAGTCACTTATAGATATTACATAAAAAAAGCCAATAGTTATATGATGTTATAGAGGCATATTACATAACATTATAATAGGTACTGTGATAAAGACATATAACATAATATTATATTAGGTACTTTGATAAAGGCATATTACATAATGTTATATTAGGTACTTTGATAAAGACATATTACATAATGTTATATTAGGTACTTTGATAAAGGCATATTACATAATGTTATATTAGGTACTGTGATAAAGACATATTACATAATGTTATATTAGGTACTGTGATAAAGGCAAATTACATAATGTTATATTAGGTACTGTGATAAAGGTATATTACATAATATTATATTAGGTACTTTGATAAAGGCAAATTACATAATGTTATATTAGGTACTTTGATAAAGACATATTACATAATGTTATATTAGGTACTTTGATAAAGGCATATTGCATTAACATTATATAGATATTGTAACAATTTACATAAACTTTGACTTGAACTGAAAATAAATATCACAAAAGACAAACAGCATGAAGTCCTTGTCAAGCTTAAATATAACAGAAACACAATATGCTGGTACTTCCACATGGATCTAACCACATACCTGTTTCTCTTGGTCAGTGTTTCTATCTGGGCAGCTTGTCGCTTACATTCATCCCTTAACTTCCCGATCAATTTATTTTGTCGTTTAATCATAACATCCATATCATGGGATGTCCGTGCATGTTTGTCCTCTATCTCATCTATATAAGTGTTAAGTTCCTCTTCGCGGTGCTGTGACCGGTGAGATATGGCCTTAAGATCTTCGTTACGTCCTCGCTCAATACTATCTCTGGCTAGTTTAGCCAGATGTAGCTCTCTCTCTAGGGCCTGTGTAGTTGTGGTGTGATGAATACACTCTTCTTTGCTGTTTACTAGATCTCGTTCAGCCTTCTGCAGACGTCGTCGGGCATCGTCCAACTCCATTTGTAGCTGTGTCCTTTCCTGTTATATTTAAAAAGATATGAATTTCTACCAGTAACTGATAAAATTAACTAAGCAGCCATATTGTTTTTAGTACAGTACAAAGACAACAACAGGCAAATAGAGCTAAGAAATTCATCTTTCCATCAAAAGTAGATTTACAGGTGAACATATTTACGATGTATATTTGAAGGTAAACATCAGTGGTTTTATGTGTTGGAATCTTACCAAATATTCCAAATAAGTTGATGAATACAAGATCATTGAATCACTATAGTACTATAGATAAACCGAGACCAGTACAGGTATACCAAAAATATCATTCAACATTTCTGTGCAGGTTCCTCTCATTAGTACCAATTATGTGACAGCTGGACTACTGGTTAACAAGTTTGTGAAAGGAACACTGCTCACTGGAATTTTTTTCTGATTAAATACTTGACACTATGGCTTGACCAGACATTGGACACTTTAGCCACACCAGACATTGGACACTTTAGCTGGACTAGATATTGGACACTTTAGCTAGACCAGACATTGGACACTTTAGCCAGACCAGACCTTGGACACTTTAGCCAGACCAGACCTTGGACACTTAAGCCAGACCAGACATTGGACACTTTAGCCAGACCAGACCTTGGACACTTAAGCCAGACCAGACATTGGACACTTTAGCCAGACTAGACCTTGGACACTTTAGCCAGACCAGACCTTGGACACTTAAGCCAGACCAGACCTTGGACACTTTAGCCAGACCAGACATTGGACACTTTAGCTAAACTAGACCTTGGACACTTTAGCTAGACTAGACCTTGGACACTTTAGCCAGACCAGACCTTGGACACTTAAGCCAGACCAGACCTTGGACACTTTAGCCAGACTAGACCTTGGACACTTAAGCCAGACCAGACCTTGGACACTTTAGCCAGACCAGACATTGGACACTTTAGCTAAACTAGACCTTGGACACTTTAGCTAGACTAGACCTTGGACACTTTAGCCAGACCAGACATTGGACACTTTAGCCTGACAAGATATTACACACTTTAGCCTGACCAGACACTGGAGACTTTAATCTGACCAGACACTGGGCACTTTAACCTGACCAGACACTGAACATTTCAGCATGACTAGACACTTTACACTTTAATCTGATCAGAACTTGGAGACATAGACCTGACTAAACTGTGGACACTTTAACCTGACTTGACACTAGACACTTCAACCTAACAAACACTGGACACTTTATTCTAACCAGACAATGGGGATACTTTAGTCCCATCATTTGACACTTTTGCCTGACAAGACACTGATGCCTAATCGACACTGGACACTTTTGAGTGACAGGACACTGGACAATTTTGAGTGACAGGACACTGGACACTTTAGACTGGTGGTTAGGCCATGGACACTACAACTTGACTTGACATTAGCCTGACCAGACTTTGGTCCAGATGTATCAGTTTAAAGAGATTCTGACCAAAGACTCAATGCTTTACACCTAACACTTTAGCCACACTAGATTCTTGACTCTGACGAAAATCTAGATACTATAGCTTGATACTGACCTGATCCTTTGCACGACGCAGTATGTCCATGTCCTTCCTCAGACGAGCAGCCTCCTGTTGAGCCTGACTTTTCTGTAGGCTAGCATTGGTAGACTCTGCATGAAATGTGTCTGTGGACTGTGAATTACAAAACAAGACTGATGTATGTTAATCACATCATACAGCTATTGGTAATGTTTGGGATGGAACTCAACAAAGTCTGGTAACATCATAGTTGTATGTACATTGGCTTAGCTCTTTCTGCTGCTTCCATTTCAATTGTTTTAATAACAAGAGGTCCATTTCCCTGGTCTTGTAGTCAAACAGAAAGTCAGATCCACTGACTTGAACAAATCCTTGTGCCTTTTTACCAAAATAGATTCATCTTGAAGTCTAGGCATCGTCAAACAAAACCGGGACAAAACTCCTGCATTTCTGCTTTTGAAGGATTGTAAGAATAAGCCCTATTTCCCAAACTGGGTCCCACCCCTCTCACACCAGGGGACCAACACCCATTGATTGCACAAATTGATTCTCCTCCACCAAAGAATGCTTTAGACCAAACTGGGACAGAATTCAAGCATTCTGACCAAATTTTGTTAAAATTCTCTTAGTTCTTTATGACTAAAGCAATTTTTTGGAAAAAAATATTTGATAACAAAATGGATTCACCTTCACCAGAATCCAGACATTGCTACTGAAAAAGAAGGATTTTAAAAATTTGCTCTGTTACCCCTATTGGGCTCTGGCCGAGACCCACCATTTAGACAAAATTGATTCCTCACCACCAAAGAATGTTTTGAATCAAAGCAGGACAGAATCCAGGCATTCTTACCAAAGTTGGCAAAAAATCCTTTTAGTCCTCCAACTAGAAGAAATTTTTCGTAGAACATTGACAGACAACAGATTCCGCAGTATAGCATAAGTGTAACAGTTTTAAAGAAGATGAAAGTTGACATTTACAAGAGTGTCAAGTTTTACACAAATGTCAGAGTTCACAGGCGTATCAGTTTAAAAGATGGTCACAGTTGAAATTTACAGGAGTATTACAGTAAACAGGGATTGCCAGTGATATAGGGTTCCTAAGTGAAAGTGTAACCTTACCATAGCTGCCTCCTTATCATAGCGTCGTAACTGCACCTTCAGTTCATCCAATTCATTGATGAGAGCAACTTTGTCTCGTGTGACTTTATCCATTTGTGTAGACATAGCAGCCGTTTGAAGATTGAGTTCTTTTATCTGAAACGTAAACAAGATATATTTAAGGAACAATTTTAAGCTATTCATGAAGTCTATTCATGAGGACTAGGACATTCAACTAAAAGGCACTTTTGCGATACCTAATAATAATAAACTTTATTTATTTTACAACAATTGCGAAGCAAGTTTTCCCAACTTATATAAATCACTCTTGTTGGCTCGAATGGAAACACACGCAGGGTCTTAATGTGGGAGGAAACTGGAGTACCCGAGGAAAACCCACCTGGTCAAGTTGGTGATCCCATATCTTTTCACATCCATTCTGGGAATCAAACCCCGGACCCAATCATAGGTTATTGGGTTTACATGTGCTAAATAAGAAAGCTTTTACTATATTAAGATACTGACTGGCATTGGGACTATGGTACACACTCTCCAAATTAAGGAAAGCAAAATGCTAGTAAAATATAAAACTAAGTCTGCCAATCCAAATTAGGGACTTGTTTCTAACTATTTTTTTTAATGGTGAATTCCCAGAGCTCTGACAAATATTGACAGATTTTCACCAATATTAAACTCATTTCAGATCTAACTAACATTAAGGTAGAACTTGGTTCTAGTCCTGTAACCAATATTGAACTAAACTGAGATCTTATTACTAACAGAACATTAAACCAAATTTGGTTCAAATCTTACTGTAAAACTTTAAACTTATTTAACTTTAACAAAAAAGTTTTCTATTGTGTTTCTTTAACTCTGGCAAATATTGATGGATTTGACCAAAATTGCCAAATTGAGATCATACTGATGCAAAGAAAAATATCAAATTCAGTTCAAATCTGGAAGTAAAAATTAATGTTATCTGATAAAAGTGAAGAAATTTTAAGGATTTTCAAGTCTCCTGACTCTGACAAATGTTGACAGATTTTGACCCATATCAAGCACATGCAAGGACTTATTGATACCAAATTTGGTTCAAATAAAATTTCAATTTGTTTGAGCATAACCCTTAAACAGAGTAACAAGACATACAGACAAAATGCAAAATGTTTCCCCACAATCTTCAATCTCATGGGCACAAAAATGTAATATTCTGAAACCTGAAAGTATCAAAGTACGGATATCCAGGTAGTATGTAACTTGAGTACAGATATCCAGGTAGTAAGTAACTTGAGTACGGAAATCCAGGTAGTATGTAACTTGAGTACGGATATCCAGGTAGTATGTAACTTGAGCATGGATATCCAGGTAGTATGTAACTTGAGTACGGATATCCAGGTAGTATGTAACTTGAGTATGGATATCCAGGTAGTATGTAACTTGAGTATGGATATCCAGGTAGTATGTAACTTGAGTACGGATATCCAGGTAGTAGGTAACTTGAGTACGGAAATCCAGGTAGTATGTAACTTGAGTACGGATATCCAGGTAGTATGTAACTTGAGCATGGATATCCAGGTAGTATGTAACTTGAGTACGGATATCCAGGTAGTATGTAACTTGAGTATGGATATCCAGGTAGTATGTAACTTGAGTACCGATATCCAGGTAGTATGTAACTTGAGTACGGATATCCAGGTAGTATGTAACTTGAGTATGGATATCCAGGTAGTATGTAACTTGAGTATGGATATCCAGGTAGTATGTAACTTGAGTACGGAAATCCAGGTAGTATGTAACTTGAGTACGGATATCCAGGTAGTATGTAACTTGAGTACGGATATCCAGGTAGTATGTAACTTGAGTATGGATATCCAGGTAGTATGTAACTTGAGTACAGATATCAAAGTAATTACAACTTGAATATGGATATCCTTGTAATCTTATGTAATTGATATTCCATTTGTATATAGTTGAAGGTAAATTACCCAATGACCATTTTTATATATGGCTATTAACTGTTAAGAATGCCATTAACTTACAAACCCAACATCAGAACTTTCTCATATGTTTATACATAAGTTATTCTAACCTTGCCATTCAGTTCCTCTACAATGGTGTTATTTTCACGTCGCACTGCTTCCCGATCTTCATTCATCTTAATTTGCGTGTCATTGATATGAGCATCAAACCTTTTTCTCATATTATTGAGCTCTTCAGTCAGCTGCTCCTTATGTACCATGGCCTGTGGTAGAGAAGAAAGTTTCAACTCAAGATACAAAATAATTTCTAATTTCACTCAAGTTCAATCTTCACATAAATGTATGCTGAAACACATTGCTTCTGAATGTATGTTCACTTCATTGTCTGTATATTATGAGAATGGCAACTCCGATAGTTTATACCTGTGTTTGCTCAAACTGAGCCTGCTCCACAAGTTCAATGCCTTTTTTCATCTGTTGGTAAGCTTCCTCCTCACGCCCAACCATCTCTGAGACACGCCCCTTGAGAACTGTGACATGTTCCATCAGTTCATCCCGTTCCCTGCATAAGTTGGACAGTTTAGGCTAATTAATGGGGAATACAGGTACTTTACAACAAAGGACAATTAAGTGACATCAGAAATCCATAAAAGGATTCACGCCCAATATATCATATACAACATATATCCATAACAGAACAAGTCTTCAGCCCAGAAATATCACCTATCATACCAGGGTTCAAAGTGACTGATTCTGTTTATGTCTGTGTGTGACTGACTATGTTAATGTTTGTCTGTGTGTAACTGACTATGTTTATGATCTGTGTGTAACTGACTATGTTTATGTCTGTGTGTAACTGACTATGTTTATGATCTGTCTGTGTGTGACTGACTATGTTTATGATCTGTGTGTAACTGACTATGTTTATGATCTGTCTATGTGTAACTGACTATGTTTATGATCTGTGTGTAACTGACTATGTTTATGATCTGTCTGTGTGTGACTGACTATGTTTATATCTGTCTGTGTGTGACTGACTATGTTTATGATCTGTGTGTGACTGACTATGTTTATGTCTGTGTGTAACTATGTTTATGATCTGTCTGTGTGTAACTGACTATGTTTATGTCTGTGTGTAACTGACTATGTTTATGATCTGTGTGTAACTGACTATGTTTATGATCTGTCTGTGTGTGACTGACTATGTTTATATCTGTCTGTGTGTGACTGACTATGTTTATGATCTGTGTGTGACTGACTATGTTTATATCTGTCTGTGTGTGACTGACTATGTTTATGATCTGTGTGTAACTGATTATGTTTATATCTGTCTGTGTGTAACTGACTATGTTTATATCTGTGTGTGACTGACTATGTTTATGATCTTTGAGTAACTGACTATGTTTATGATCTGTGTGTAACTGATTATGTTTATATCTGTCTGTGTGTAACTGACTATGTTTATGATCTGTGTGTAACTGATTATGTTTATATCTGTCTATGTGTAACTGACTATGTTTATGATCTGTGTGGAACTGACTATGTTTATGTCTGTCTGTGTGGAACTGACTATGTTTATGATCTGTCTGTGTGTGACTGACTATGTTTATGATCTGTGTGTAACTGATTATGTTTATATCTGTCTGTGTGTAACTGACTATGTTTATGATCTGTGTGGAACTGACTATGTTTATGTCTGTCTGTGTGTAACTGACTATGTTTATGATCTGTGTGGAACTGATTATGTTTATGTCTGTCTGTGTGTAACTGACTATGTTTATGATCTGTGTGGAACTGATTATGTTTATATCTGTCTGTGTGTAACTGACTATGTTTATGATCTGTGTGGAACTGACTATGTTTATGATCTGTCTGTGTGTAACTGACTATGTTTATGATCTGTGTGGAACTGACTATGTTTATGTCTGTCTGTGTGTAACTGACTATGTTTATGATCTGTGTGGAACTGATTATGTTTATGTCTGTCTGTGTGTAACTGACTATGTTTATGATCTGTGTGTGACTGACTATGTTTATGATCTGTGTGTAACTGATTATGTTTATATCTGTCTATGTGTAACTGACTATGTTTATGATCTGTCTGTGTGTGACTGACTATGTTTATGATCTGTGTGTGACTGACTATGTTTATGATCTGTGTGTGACTGACTATGTTTATGATCTGTCTGTGTGTAACTGACTATGTTTATGATCTGTCTGTGTGTAACTGACTATGTTTATGATCTGTCTGTGTGTAACTGATTATGTTTATGATCTGTGTGTGACTGACTATGTTTATGATCTGTCTGTGTGTGACTGATTATGTTTATATCTGTCTATGTGTAACTGACTATGTTTATGATCTGTCTGTGTGTAACTGATTATGTTTATATCTGTCTGTGTGTAACTGACTATGTTTATGATCTGTGTGTGTGTAACTGATTATGTTTATATCTGTCTATGTGTAACTGACTATGTTTATGTCTGTGTGTAACTGACTATGTTTATGATCTGTCTGTGTGTAACTGATTATGTTTATATCTGTCTATGTGTAACTGACTATGTTTATGATCTGTGTGTGACTGACTATGTTTATGATCTGTGTGTAACTGATTATGTTTATATCTGTCTATGTGTAACTGACTATGTTTATATCTGTGTGTGACTGACTATGTTTATGATCTGTCTGTGTGTAACTGATTATGTTTATATCTGTGTGTGACTGACTATGTTTATGATCTTTGAGTAACTGACTATGTTTATGATCTGTGTGTAACTGATTATGTTTATATCTGTCTGTGTGTAACTGACTATGTTTATGATCTGTCTGTGTGTAACTGACTATGTTTATGTCTGTCTGTGTGTAACTGACTATGTTTATGATCTGTCTGTGTGTGACTGACTATGTTTATGATCTGTCTGTGTGTAACTGACTATGTTTATGATCTGTGTGTAACTGACTATGTTTATGATCTGTGTGTAACTGACTATGTTTATGATCTGTGTGTGTGTAACTGATTATGTTTATATCTGTCTATGTGTGACTGACTATGTTTATGATCTGTCTGTGTGTAACTGATTATGTTTATATCTGTCTATGTGTAACTGACTATGTTTATATCTGTGTGTGACTGACTATGTTTATATCTGTCTGTGTGTAACTGACTATGTTTATGATCTGTCTGTGTGTAACTGACTATGTTTATGATCTGTGTGTAACTGACTATGTTTATGATCTGTGTGTAACTGACTATGTTTATGATCTGTGTGTAACTGACTATGTTTATATCTGTGTGTGACTGACTATGTTTATGATCTTTGAGTAACTGACTATGTTTATGATCTGTGTGTAACTGACTATGTTTATATCTGTCTGTGTGTGACTGACTATGTTTATGATCTGTGTGTGACTGACTATGTTTATGTCTGTGTGTAACTGACTATGTTTATGATCTGTCTGTGTGTAACTGATTATGTTTATATCTGTCTATGTGTAACTGACTATGTTTATGATCTGTGTGTGACTGACTATGTTTATGATCTGTCTGTGTGTAACTGATTATGTTTATATCTGTCTATGTGTAACTGACTATGTTTATGATCTGTCTGTGTGTGACTGACTATGTTTATGATCTGTCTGTGTGTAACTGATTATGTTTATATCTGTCTATGTGTAACTGACTATGTTTATGATCTGTCTGTGTGTGACTGACTATGTTTATGATCTTTGAGTAACTGACTATGTTTATGATCTGTCTGTGTGTGACTGATTATGTTTATATCTGTCTATGTGTAACTGACTATGTTTATGATCTGTCTGTGTGTGACTGACTATGTTTATGATCTGTCTGTGTGTGACTGACTATGTTTATGATCTGTGTGTAACAGACTATGTTTATGATCTGTCTGTGTGTGACTGACTATGTTTATGATCTTTGAGTAACTGACTATGTTTATGATCTGTCTGTGTGTGACTGACTATGTTTATGATCTGTCTGTGTGTGACTGACTATGTTTATGATCTGTGTGTGACTGATTATGTTTATATCTGTCTATGTGTAACTGACTATGTTTATGATCTGTGTGTGACTGACTATGTTTATGATCTGTCTGTGTGTAACTGATTATGTTTATATCTGTCTATGTGTAACTGACTATGTTTATGATCTGTCTGTGTGTGACTGACTATGTTTATGATCTGTCTGTGTGTAACTGATTATGTTTATATCTGTCTATGTGTAACTGACTATGTTTATGATCTGTCTGTGTGTGACTGACTATGTTTATGATCTTTGAGTAACTGACTATGTTTATGATCTGTCTGTGTGTGACTGATTATGTTTATATCTGTCTATGTGTAACTGACTATGTTTATGATCTGTCTGTGTGTGACTGACTATGTTTATGATCTTTGAGTAACTGACTATGTTTATGATCTGTCTGTGTGTGACTGACTATGTTTATGATCTGTGTGTAACAGACTATGTTTATGATCTGTGTGTGTGTAACAGACTATGTTTATGATTTTTGTGTAACTGACTATGTTTATGATCTGTCTGTGTGTAACTGACTTTGTCTAAGATGGCTCTGTATTTGACTAACTTTGTCAGCCTGTCTATGGTCTGCTTGTGGAAGCCCTTGTGAGCGTCGGACAGGTAGGCAGTATCAATAAACATTCCGTCCTCTCTAGTTGGGATAACATCCCTCATGCGTAGTTGCGACCTTAAATCCTCTGTTATCTGCTCATATCGCTGAATCTCCTCTCTGGCAATAACAAACAATTTTATTAGCACATCCCTTCACTTCAACGATGCAAATGATACAAGGCAACAATTCCACATCTTTGTAATGATAGTATATTAAGTATGATTGACCAGAGCTTTTAAATCTTAGTCCTGTTAACATTGGTTTTCACAACATTGAAATAAAACCTATACAGCTTACACTCCAGAAATAAGAAATAATGACCTAAACAGAATGATCCTTTTTTTTCTCACAAGCAAGTCTTTTATAATCATATAAAAGAGTTGATGGTCTAGAATGAGCTTATAGCTATCAAACAGCCAGATATATAAACCAAGAACCATAACTCATTTTATATAAAGAATATCCCCACAGTGACTTCAAAGAAAATCATAGACAGTCACCTAGTGGTTGTTTTTTTTAACAGTGTCAATGGGCCAAAGAAAATCAAATGAGAATCTGCAATTACAAACGTTATTTGTCTAAATCCAATGACAGTTTTTCTTCCTATGAGTTTTAAACTTAATATACAAACTATGGGACCAAGGAGAACCTACATATCAAGTTTGCAAGTGTTGTAGTCCTACAACAGTAATAACAAAAATCGTTTTAGGATGGACAATCAACAGATGCAGATATAAAGAAGCACCAGCAGGGAGGGAAAGGATCTGGATCATAAATAAAGGAACAAAACAAAAGGTGATTTGAATACATTATCTGATGTCGGTGTCAGTAGACTGATAACAAGCCTCACATGTATACTGACCTGGAATGTGCTAGTTGGGATTCAAGTCTCTCTGTCCGAGCAGCATGGATGGAACTTAAGCGCTCCTACAATATTAGATACATATATGTATATTAGTAAGTACACTATTTAGACTATTTGATGTTAAGACAAAGTTGAATTAAAAAATAACTTTTCTGACAGTTTTTAATTTGAACAAACCAATGAAACATTTGTAAGACTCACCATCTCTATCTGTATGTTTCGAATATCACGACTTTGGAAAGCCTGCCTTTCATCATCTAAAAGGAAGGAGTCGTCCACCTGCCAACAAATTGGTTTATAACAATGGTTTATATACAGTGAAAAAGAATTCTATCTATTACATAATGTCATTTTATACAGCTTATAAAATCAAACTAACATAGGAAAAGTTGTAAATTCACCTTTAAAACAAAATACCGCATAGGCATGCTTGCCATGAGAACTGAACCAGTCCACAATGTGTACAATGGAGAGTTAACGAGAAGGAATTTAGACAGGACAGCAAGTCACGACCAGACCTATTACTGACAGCAGGGATGATCTTGACACAATGATAGGTATTAGACAGGATTAAGCAAAGATTGTGTCTGACCAGGAGAATCACTCATTACAGGTGTGTATTATCATAGGTAACACTGACTGTAGGTAACCATATGATACAAGCAAAAGAGAATGTTACAGAATCATGTATTTAGCACAGATACATGCCTGTAATAACATCTGACAATTCATTTTAAAATACTTCAAGGCTTTCAAACAATTTGTGATCAGATAATTAGGCAGCAAATATTGCCTCTTGAAATATACGTTGTCATTAATAATCCACCACCTGCTTATTCTGAATTAGTGATGTTCAGTGTACTTCTCTGTTTTTGTTTTTAATTTAAAATCTTCTGGATAACAGGGTTTTTTTCTTTATCTTTTTTAATGGTGGAGAAGGAGGTAAGATTAATAAACCTATATAACTATACAAACAAATTAAATGAAGTGACAGATAATGTATTACTATTTTTCATGTAAACATACACACATGTACATGAATTTTGATATGAATAATTTAGTAAACACATGCTTATGGGAAATAAATTGAACAATCGAAAACAAATTACAGCAGGATATGTTAACGACCCAATAAAATTAATTAAATAAGACTGAATAAACCATATGTGTACCAGAAAATAACGAGTAAGTACTTAACAAGATATCTGCAGATCCATCTGATCATATGTTACATACAGACATATAGATGTTGAATTGACCATTGTTGCAAATATGAATGTCTTCTGATGTGTTAAATATGTACTATCATTTAAAGGACTGGGACAATCTCATTGAAGTCAGCATACAAGTCACACAGGAAAGTGAGTTTAAAATAATCTAGAAAGGCTATAGATACAAATAATGTGTTGTATTTACCAAGTTAAGTCTTACCTTGGAAAAGTCCCCGTTCACACCAAACAATTCTTGCATCACACTTTTCTTTAACTCATCATGAAGTCTCCTGTTTTCATCCAAAAGTTCCCCAACTTTTGCTCTCAGTGCAAACAGTTCTTCCTAGAAAACACAGTTACATAATTACTTATATAAAAACGCACAAGGAAAAAAAAATTTTAAGATGAAAATTAGACTTACGTTTATTCATAATACTAAGCAAAAAAGTGTAACTTTTTCAGCAAAACAAATTTAAGAGAAACAAAAGTTCACGCCACAGATAAAGACTTCAGAAAACAATTTGACAAATTATAGTTCCCCACCATCAAACCAAATTGAACCCATAAACTAAGTATGAAGTTCCAGTGATATAAGTCAAAGGTCAAACTGCAGGTTAGAGTGGCCTACTTTTGATACATGACACACCACCTCACCAAATTGAACCAATATTAAAGAATGAAGTTCCTGTGACAAGAAGTCAAAAGAACAAGTGAAAGTGATAAATGCTCCATGAAAACGTTTTTATTGCACAGAAAATTTGACAAAGAACAATAATTTTGTAACTAAGGGGTTGCAGGCCCTGAATTTGGTACACTGCAAATTTTCTTAGTGTGACCAATGCATACACCCCACAAGTTTCATGTTCCTGGTTTTTATGCAAGTATAACTATGCTCATGACACAAAATTTTAACAAAGGGCAATAACTCTAAAATTGGAGAGTCAAGGGCCCTGAAATTGGTACACAGCACAGGGTATTAGAATGATCAATGTATAAACTAAGTTTCATGATCCTTGTTAAACTGTGGTCAAAGTTAAGCTCTGGAAAAGAAATTTTCAACAAAGGACAATAACTCTATAAATGAGAGATCGAGGGCCCTGACTTTGATATGTTGCACATTGTCTTAGTATGATCAATGTACCCACCAAGTTTCATTATCCTTGTTTAAATGCAAGCAATTCAAAATATTCAAAATAAAATATGATAATGGAAACAGGCCTTTGAATATCGAATCAATTGCGACATTTCAATGCCACAGGTTGGAGATGCAGGGATGTTGCTATCCAGGAATGGAAAATTCACAATAGGGAAATTTAAATCATCACAGTTATCATACAGCTTGGTGGAAAGCTGTCCATTTTGGTATCATTGCAGGAAAAGATTGAGATATGGGGCTGATGTATTGGAGTCTGTTGTCTCCTTTACTTCTAATTCTGGTGAGTATATACAATGGAGCCTGGACAAACTTTTTTCTTTGGTCAAAGTCCAAATGAAGGTCAGAGTAACCTTCTTTTGATATGCTACATACTATCCCACCAAGGCGAACCTATATCCCAAGTATCAAGTTCCTGTGATTAGCTGTGTAGAATATAGCCCCAGTGAAAACTTTTTCTTTGATGTAGGTCAAGGTCAGATTGTAGATCAGGGTAACATACTTTTTATATACAAAACACTTTCTCACCAACATGAACCAAAATCCAAAGTATTAAGATCCTGTGATTAGTTGTGAAGAAGAAAGGGTTCAGATAAGATAACAGAGGGACACAAAGACTGATGGACACAACACAAAACTATACCACATAAAGTCATATATCTTAATAATTACCATACAAATTCAGATATATCAATAATTACCACACAAATTCAGATATCTCAATATTTACCACTTAAAATCAAATATCTCAATAATTACCACAAATTCAGATATCTTAATAATTACCACACAAATTCAAAAATATCAATAATTACCACACAAAGTCAGATATCTTGATAATTAACACAAATTTAAATATCTCAATACTTACCACACAAAGTCAGATATCTTAATAATTACCACACAAATTTAAATATCTCAATACTTACCACACAAAGTCAGATATCTTGATAATTAACACAAATTTAAATATCTCAATACTTACCACACAAAGTCAGATATCTTGATAATTACCACTTTACATTAAAAATGAAAACCTTGAAGGTTCTTGGCTCCAACCACTGAATAATCTTAATTGGTTCTATTCTGACTGATTTATTCTCTACTTTTTTTATTTTTTTAAAAAAATAATGAATGGATAACAGACAATGGACAAATAATGATTTGAATAGCCACTATCTAATGCTAGTGGCATATGCTAAAAAGTCCATGATAGCCTCCTATTAGCCATAACAATGGTGATATCAAACTTTCATCATCAAAATCCAAGACAGCTGCATCTCCTCCATTTTACTTTCCTTATTTGTTCCATAATCAAACCTACATAGGAAATTTGAGAAAGATTCATCAAGTACTTCAAGAACTTGCAATGACAAGCTTTCATTGTCAAAAATGAAGATGGCCACCTGTCAACAATGATGGTCTTCTGATAAGTTCCAGAATAATTCTTAAAAATCCTTAAAAAGATATTACCGAAGTGTAGGTGTATGTTACAGACAGACTTTTAAAAATGTCCTATATTCGAAACAAGACATGGTCAATCCTTGTCAACCAAATGATACTTCAGACAAAATCAAGACAGAATCCTACGATTCCTTTTAAGAAGAAACAATTTAAAACAATTTGCTCTATCTCCCCTATTGGGCCTTATCCCTCGCAACCAAATATTTATGCAAAATTCATTCCCCTCACCAAAAGACGCTTCAGACCAAATTGGGATGTAATCCTGGCATTCTTGCAGAAAAAGCATGATTTTAAAGAATTTGCTCTATTTCCCTACTGGGCACCACCCCCCCACCAGGGGGCCAAGACCCACTGTTTATACAATATTGATTCTCCCTTCACCAAAAAAATGTTCCAGACCAAATTTAAACAGAATCCTGCACTTCCTGTGGAATAAAAATTTTGAAGAATTTGCAAAATAGCCTAAAGCTAACAATAATACAAGATAATTTTGAATTGATCTAGACACTGATTTGATATAGGAATCTTTAGTGCTATGCTCATAGATGTAGATGTCACTAATGCTGACCTTTATGTATCTGTTTTCGTTTTCCAACTGGTGAATGTAACTTGTCTGGGTTTGAAGAATGGCTGCTGCTTCTTCAACAGATGGCATAGGACCAGGGGCTGCTTTCTGTGATTCTGGTGCACTGACTTTCTGTGTATACTGCAAAAGATAGAGTATATAACTCTCCAGGCTTTATCCAATATATTAGATATGAGAATAGTTTATATCTTATATATATTATACTCTACTTACATCTAACTAATAACTTAAGCACTGAGACAGTTTTTAACAACTTTCACAACAAAAAGTTTCTGCTGTAGACACATTCAGGCTATTATACAGATATTTTGTGTCTTTCCATGCTATAGTCAAAAACATCTGACACTTTGTACTGATAGTTAACATGTGCTATATATTGCACAAGACCATGAGGAAATTAAGTCATAAAAAAGTCCATGCAAACCTGCCACAAAAGAATTTCTCCAACTTAAGACAAAGTTTTGATGACATAGGGCATGGAAATCCTAACTGAACAATTCCCAATAAGTTTTACTCTGATATCCTGCTTTAAACAATTTCAAATCTTTCTGAGTCGCTGCACACAAATTCCCTATCAATCCAACAGCTAACCAGAGGGCAGGTCAATGATATCGTTAAACGCTTGAAGTCAATGTCTTTGTGTGATTTTCATGTGATGTCCTTACTATTACTGACACATCATCAAGCAAGAAAATGTCACATCACAATGTACCAAGCAATGAGGTTTTCGATGGAAACAGCAGAAAATAGTTCATTCTACTGTACACAGAGCAAACACAGCACTTAATGTAATGAACGCAATAAATAAATAAAAAATAAGAAATTAAGGAGGTATAGTTTGCAGTACAGCAATGGTTTGAACAATAAAACTATAAAACTACAACTGCTCACAAATATTGATATATTCTAAGCAGACAAATTAATCTGTATGTCCCAATGACAAGAATAACTCTTCTCCATTAACATGGTAAAGTATCGGTTGAAAGTGTAACAACTACACAGTATGAATAGGTTAGATCAATATAAGGTCACATATTGTATAAAGGTTTGTATTTTGGCTCTGCTACCTACGCTTACAACTAAAACGAGCAAAATTATTTATGTCATAGTTTACATTGACTAACATGACCAGTGCTCGAATCGAAACAGTGCCTGAACACATTATATTTACAGTTCTCATTCTACAAAATGTCTGATTTGTCCAATCACAATCATGATGCATGATAATTAAAGTGTGCCTTTATATGTTTCTTCCTATAACAATAAAAAATCTGTAACTACCATGACAATCTGCTGCATGGGACAAGTGTGGAAATAAAAGTCAGTTCCTTAAAAAGTTTTTACACTTCATCATTTTGCCTACTCTGAAAAAATCAAAAATCATGGTAAAATATTTTATCTAAATGAACAGTATTGCATTAAATATGAATTTGATGTGCTTTACAAAATACAGTACAGACCAAAATATTGGTCCATATTTCCCTCCATTGAAATACATACAGATCAGTAATATCGGGCACTGATCAATGCAAAAAATGACTTCCTTTATTTCATGTATTTTTACAACATTTTCTATTTAGAAAACAGATTGACACCACAACAACATATATATGTGTAAATATTCGATACTTCAATGGGGATGTTCGAGCATAGGTTTCAATTTCAATCAATATCCCCCCTACACGGGTGTCATTTGACCAAATGCCAATAATTTCACAAAAACTGCATGTGATTCTATGTATATAGCTGAAAATATCCATGACATGACAACTATTCAGAATAAAACAGCTAAAAATCTGGTTTTGTGTTGAAACAGTGTTCATCTGCATAGCTTTTGATTTTCAATTAACTGTTTCAGTAATGTGAATAGCTAAACAAGATAAAATTGTTTATTCTAAAAATGAACTTGATAAGATCACAATACTAGTACGATAATTAATGCTAAGTATGTTACTCAAGCTAAATTTCATTCTTTTTATATGTTACAATCAGACAATCTTTTCCAACAACCACAAAAATATTGGCAGTAGTCATGTAAGGAAATACATGCACATGAATCCAAAATTCCAATATAACCTGTGTCCCAAAAAGGGTTACTACACACCTGTTTGTCTGGCTGTGAGCTGAGAATGTTACCAAGTTGATGGGAAGCATCTTTGTATTTCTGTGGGCGCCCAGAGTCTTCATACCACCTGAGTGTACGTGGATGTACAGAGGTTTTAAGTTGGCTCTTGGCATAGGAGGTGATAGAGTTATTGGGACTATTTCCAGTCCCCATGAGGACATCCTCCAATTCATTCAAACTGATATTGGCCCGATCTACATTTCACAAAGTGATAAAAATAGTTAGATTCTGTATAAAAGTAAAGGTAAAACAAGATGAACAATTTAACAAGATCACAAACATGTACGAAATCTCATGCACATGGAGTGAATTAACTTATACAATATATAATATTTTTTTTCTTCAGGTAGTGCCAAAGTGGGCTAGGGGATTCAAATACAATCTGCTTCCATCCTAAATTATCTCAAGAGTTATATCTATTTATAGCCAAACTTGTAGATACTTTGTTATGTATTAATTTAAAATGTTTTATAATAAATGTACAATTCACTGTTGCAGGTTTAATAGTTTGAATTTTCAATAATGTTGTTGGATAAAGATACTATGAGGTCAGTGTCAAGAAACATATGCCGTATGTTATAAGACATTGTTCGATTCATCACTATGCATTTTCTAAGTACAATGTATATACATTAAGTAAGCTATACAATGTATACCCATTATTCTGGAAGATGCAGCATGTATTTTTTTTTTATTTCTTCAAAAACTGTTCATGATTGATATATGTACCCGAAGTGAGAGCTTGAATCATGTATATCAACAAATAATAAACCGTATAAAATGCCGGTATTTTGATAATGACAGTTGCAAGTTGTAACTTGAAATTCGTAAAGTTTTACCCACATATGTACGTACATAAGGTTTATAACGTTATAATATATATAAATAAAAGATTAGATTAAAAAGGATGCAAAAACAGTGTCCATTAATAAAATAAAAGACTCTAAATTGCAAAAAAGCGATATTTGAAATGTATTAAGGGACGACAGATGGAGGGAAAATGTTACATTTCAGAGACTTGATCAAAGTTGAGAAAATTTCTCTGAGATGATTTGTAATTAAGGACCGCATCAATTATCAATACCTCGAACAGATTTCTGGTAATTATCTGCAGGATCATCTTCCTCCTCATAAGCATACATAATGACTAAATATCAGTTATTATTATATGAAATAAAAAATCCTACAGACAGGAAGTTTACATTCTCCATCACAAAGACGCATGCGCAAATCGGACATGTTTGAGTTCCGGTACTTGTTTCTTAAAGCTACTGCCACCTCGATTTCAAATCATATATTTTATTTCTGTGTTTGCGTGGTAAAGTTTTATTTTAATCAAAATGTCACGAAAACTTAGGCCGTGCAGATGAGTTTGATAAACTTATTCAGAAGCAAGTCCATAAACAAGCTAAAATAAGATCTTTTATACATATTTTTTGGGGAAATACATGTAATTAATATTTTTAACATTTTGCACAGTGACATGTACGGGTTTAACATGAAGATAAACGTAATATTTTCACCGTTTATTTCCAAAGAATTTCTTTTATTTCCCCCAGAGTGCATTCCGGTGTCCGTATGGAACAACTCTGGTGGAATCAGAAAAAAAAATTGAGTTAGTAAGTCGAACCCGAAAACAACTCGAAATTTCGAGTTGCTATCTCGAAATTTCGGGTTGAAATCTAAAAATTTCGGATTACTAACTCGAAATTTCGAGTTAAGATAAAACACAAAGTGGCCGGAATACGCTTCCGTATTTTTGTAACAAAAATAATACTAATAAATTTAACTGACGAGTAAACAAATACATCGGTCAAATGGAAAATCATTTTTAGTTCTACGGTTTTACAAATAACTTTCTTCAATATAGAGTGATATTTTATTTGTGAATAGCTCAAATATGCGGGTTTCTTTATATATATATATAAATCTAAAGTAAACAGAAAGTATTTGTCACAAAAGTGAACGCGATCCATTTGAAAACTGAGATTTCTACTATACTGTTTGTTTTGAAAAGATAACCGCAGTTAGACTTGAGTATGTTGGCTAGTATCTCATTTAGTGCATTGTATATCGTTACGTTGGACGTGCAAATGGATTACATAATAGAACTGACTCATTGACTGTTATTTATAAATGTAAGTCATAGATCTCAATAAGAAAAAATGTACGAGTTTAATCAATTCGGTATTAGCTTTATACTGCGTATTTGTATTGGATATAAACATTGCCACAGAGATCTTTTTAATGCTGTGGTTAATCAATTTCTAATCATTATCCTTTTCCTTAGTTTAATGGGTCACTTTAAGATATAGATGTAGATCCCTTCCTATCCGAATTCTTGATCAAGAGATTTCAGCCGTAAATTTTTAATTTTAAATGCTACAGTGATAATCAATTATTCTGTTTAAAATGTATTTTCAAATTCTATATCTTCTCTTCGTTTCATCAGTTTTAAACCAATTTTAGGGGTGTCTTTATCACACGCCCCTGGCCAAATCATGATTTCTTCGTATAATGACTGTAGTAATGTTTGAAATCATGTAAAACATATAGGAGTCAGACGATGAGAATTAAGCCCATGTTATACAAAACAGATGTTGTTGAACTGGGTTGTGACACTCTGATTTTTATAATAATCATTGAATGTGGTTTTGAATATGGATATTTATGCTACCACGGATTCAAATTCGAAGTAAGTCCGACATGTAATTATGGACCGTACTATCACTGAGTAGTAGATGTGTAACCTCGGTGAAGGCTACAACAGATACCTATATAACCTTGAGTAACCCCCGGGTAAAACGGTACCGTAAGTCCGTGTTAGTAATTTCATTAAATCTTTTATCCATGACAGGCCCCAATCTACTTGTGCGCTCTCGTACCTACGACACGATAATCGCTAAGGAGACGTGACCCGTGGTATCGTGTAGAAATAGCTGCATATGAATTGTGAAAAATACAGCATTTTGATTACATTGTAAAGTTTGAGTAAGTTTAATCACTATTGTATTGGACCAGGCCGATGTGGATTTACTTATTGCTATTAGATATGTTATTAATGGCTCTATTTCGAATGATTTGAAGACTTCTGTTTAAGATTTATAACTATCGCACGCTAGTGACCAGGCGGAGTATTGATAGCAGAGCGTGCAAATAGACAGTGGCAAGGGAAACAGTATCCCATCTATTGTTTTCTTAGTATGTTAATGATTGTAAAATCCATTCCTGAACAGACGAGTGTCTAGCTATTGAACTACAAGCCGTGAATTTGTTCTTATTGATGTAAGCAGACAACTTGGTACTTCTGGCAGATTACAGAAAATGCTAGATTCGTCATTATTGTATACAAATAAATGGAATCTTACAGTAAATGCGTCAAAAACAAAAGTGATGGTATTTTGAAATGGTGGACGATTACGAAGGGAATAATGGTATCTTAATGGATGTGTTTTAAAAAGTGTAAACGAATTTAATCTCTTGGGAATATTACTTCATTTTAAGTGTAAATTTGATAAAACACAACAGCTATGCAATGTAGAAAAGCGTTGCTCTCTGTATTTAATGCCCGTAAAGAAAATTGCTCTAATTTTGAAACACATCTTCACGTCTTTGAAACATATATTTGTAGAATATCAAGTAATGGGGCTAAAATCTGGGGTTGCATAAAGCACCAGATATTGAGAAACTACATTTAAGTTATTACAAACGATCATTAAGGGAGAAAGAAACCCACTGCAAATGTTATGGTCTACCAAGAACTAGGTAGAGTTCCCCTGAAAATTATCAGAAAAAAATCGTATTTCTAAGTATTGAAATGTGTGGTACTGTGTATGTCGCTGGCGATATTTCTGTTAAAGCTGAGAAACAAGGCAAAACAAAAGGTTAATTCAATGGCAGTATTACTCCATTTTATGTAATCTTTTATAATTCTGAAAATACATTGAGCATTGAGATGACATTATACCGTATCTCCAACACTATCAAGTTGGATTTTTATGTCACTAGCAATGCCGCAATGGATATGAATGCGAATATAAATAGGCCACTCGCCACTAGAATTAGTTTTTTTATCAAAAGTGTATATCGAAAAAAAATATATATATCGTAATGTCAACAGTTGAGATTGACCGTGTGGCCCATGAAAGTTAGGCTAACGCAGGAGTAACGTCTTATATCGTCTGTGCTATAACAACTGATGAAGAAAACGTCAAATTTTCATCCATAAATTCAATTTTGAAAGCACAATCACATTTTTATCCAATTTGATTTTTCAATATTTCGGTATCAGCGTATGCTCGTACTAGTTATCGAGGGTAGGAATTTTAGGCCCCATCGGTATCTTTGTTCATATACGATACCTTTTAAATTTATAATTTATGGAACAGGAGAAAATTGTTCAACAATTAAAAAAAGATCGTTTTGTATACAGCCTCTACACGAGGCAACCAAACGTGACTGAAATAGACCTGATGATTTTGTCAGAACAAGAAGACGACACGGCCTGTTTCGTACACCTGGTTTTGTTTTTGTCATATTGTCTTATCCATATTCAAAGGAAAAAAACTGATTTTAAAGATTAATATCAATACCCCCAATTGTGTCCTATCCCTTCTGCCTTCTAGGGGGTCAGCCCGATCGTTTATGCAAAACCCTTTCACTTAGAATAAAACCAGATTCAGATTCAAAAGAAGTGTTTGAAAGTAATAGATATATCTTATCTTTTTGGGTCCAGCACCCCAGACCCCTGCTATCTAAGGTCCATCCTTTGCACAAAACAGGCTCTCTTTTCACACAGGATATTTCTATCCCAATTGATCAAATTTAGTTAAAATACTTTCATTCCAAGGAAGAAGGATTTCATAGCTTCTCTTCCATTCTCCTTATTTGGCATTGTCCCTCTGTCCCCGAGGTGTTAGACCAAAGCCATTCATATAAAATTAAGTTCTTGCCACCAAGGGATGCTTAAGATAAAATTTTGACAAAATTCTGTCATCCCAACAGAACAAATTTAAGCATATTCCACTTTTGGGTCAACCCCACTGCCCCCAGGAGGTCAGAATCAACAATATACGAAATTAGTTCATCTTTTCCCAAGGATGCTTCTGACAAAATTTGGCCAAAATACCTTCAACCCAACCAAAGAAGGAGTTCAAAAATTTTCCTCTATATCTCATATTTGGCTTCACCCATCAGGCCACAGGAGGGTTAGGTCTTCCACTTTCTCCAAAAATGCTCCTGACTTTGCAATTTTGGAAAAAAATGTTTTATCATTCCTACAAAAGGAAAAGGACTTTAAAGAATTTGCTAAATTGACCCTATTTCAGTTCTAGACCTTCCACTTGGTTCTCTTCTCCTCAGGTTGCTTCTGACCAAATTTTTTTTTTTTTATATTTCTTTTATTTTTCAAAAAGATCATATTGAGCATGACAACAACATCATCATCATCATCATCATCATCATCATCATCATCATCATCATCATCATCATCCATATTCAAACATCATCATCAACCACAATCACCAGTCATCAGCATCGTCATCATCATCATCATCATCATCATCATCATCATCATCATCATCATCATCATCACCCATATTCTAAAATCATCATCAATCACAATCAACAGTCAACATTATCATTATCATCATCATCATCATCATCATCATCATCATCATCATCATCATCATCATCATCATCATCATCCATATTCAAACATCATCATCAACCACAATCAACAGTCATCATCATCATCACTGTCGTCGTCATCATCATTCATTCTGAAATCATCATCATCCAATATCATCAACAATCATCATCATCATGTTAATAATTGATACTCATCATTCATCATCATCAATCATTCAAACATCTTCATCCACAATCCTCAACAGTCATCATCAACATCATCATCATCATCAACACCAACATCGTAGTCATCCATCATTCCATCATCATCATTATCAACATTATCGTCATCATCATTATCAATAGCATCATCATTAACAACATCATCATACTCTTCAATTTATACTTGTCAATCAATATAATCATAATTTTTCATCAATCATATCCTCACACATACATCTTTCACACCCTCACTTCCTCATACACTTTCTCAGCATTAATATTATCAACACAATCACCATATTAACAAAAATACTGTAACAAACATACATTGTACATACATCCTCACACACATCTTCATACTTTCCACAGAAGTGAAAAAAAATTAAACACTGCAGAAAGAGGTATTCTTTATTAATACTAAGATACTGAAAGAAAAGAGAGAGAGAGAGAGAGAGAGAGAGAGAGAGAGAGAGAGAGAGGGAGAGAGAGAGGAGTGGTTGGGCTAGGTATGCATTTAAAAAGAAAATCAAAACATATATGCATATGGAAAAATAATTACCTTATCACTGATGTTTTCACACACAATTTAAATTAGTCTGCAAGGAGGAGTAAAATGTTAATAGATACTTGATAAGTAAAAGGCCTTCATAATCACAACCAAACTGATTAAAACAGTACAAATTACAACTTAATTCTCCCCAAATTCTAATAACCTTCTCCATTTCCTCCATTCATTTTCTAAAATCTGCCGTGCATGGTCACCTTGACTATTTGCAATATATTTTTGACAAATGTAATGCTCTTTAATTGAATTTATCAGAGCATTTGGATTTAGAATTTTATGTAGACATCTTGTCTTATATATATAAGACTTAATCATGATTAAAATTTCATTATCCACCCTATTTTTTAAAACATTCTCATGACTCAAGGTAACTCCAAAAAGAAAACTTTTCTTATTAAATGAAAATGGTATCAAAAGTGCATCAAAGAGTGTTTCAACAATAAACAGAAATCTCTGAGTTTCTCGACATTCCCACATAATGTGAATAATTGTTTCTCTCTCCAAGTTACAGAGAGGACAAACAGGATTATTTGATAACCCAATTTTAACAAGTATACATTTGTTGTTAGAATATGCTGCACTATTCTATACTGAAACCACTGTAACTTTGTATTTTTTGTAGCTCTAAAGGGAGTTTTATAAATATCAGTCCAGTTCAAATCAATATCTTCAAATATTTCTTCCCACTTCTTCCTACCTGTAGAAACATGACAGTGTTTTACCATTAGGTTATATAAATCCTTGGTCCCCATAACTTTTTTCAAGAAAAAAAATATGTTACTTGGGATAATTGGGTAGCAAATTAATTGCTTTTTGTAACCTACCTTTCCTAGAAATAATTTAATAGCAGAGATCACACCATTATATTGAAGAAAGTTTGTTTTAACTTGATAAATTTCTGTAAATTCTTGAAATGTGTAAAAAGAGAAAGTGTTTATATCTTTTACTAAATCATGAATTATTGTTACTCCCTTCTGATACCAAGCCTTGTAAAAAATAGTACTTTTCGCAATAGTTAAATTCCTGTTATACCATAATGGTGATGTTAAAACTGAGTTTCCCATATTTTCCTTTACTGCATCTGAATCATTAAATCTAACCCAAGCTTTGTACACATCCTTCCAAAACATATTTTTGCATTTATTTTGACAATCCTGAATATAAGCATTACCAAATGTAGATATCTTATGCAAGTCTGTAAATGTTTCAAAAATATGTTGCCACTTAGATGTTTTCTGATATAACCTTCTTATCCATCCTAATTTTAAAGAATCTATAAATGACCTAACATTAACCATTTTAAGACCACCATCATAATAATTCTGGGTGATGATATCTCTCTTAATTTTATCCACCTTACTATTCCACAAAAAGTTAAATAAGACTGAGTTGAGATTTTTCAAAAACTGCTCATCAGGATCAGGTAAAGCTATAAATAAATGATTGAACTGTGAAAGAAGAAGAGATTTTATTAAGACTATTCTACCAATAGGTGTAAGTGTTCTTCTACTCCAAGATTTAATGAGCGTTTTCAATTTAATTAATTTTTTATCAAAATTTAATCTGGGGATCTCATGTAAGTTCACACTAAAGTCTATTCCTAGCATATTAAATTTGATCCTTCCCCATTGCAAGCCTAATTCAGGTAAAAAAGTATTGTCACTGTAACTTTTGCTACCTATCCAAATTACCTGGGTTTTATCGACATTAAGATTTAAACCAGATATCTTTGCAAAGTATTTCAATTCAACAATAGATTCTTTTAAAGACATTTTCGAACCATCTAATATAAGTGAGGTGTCATCTGCGTATTGAGAAAGGAGAATGGGACAGTTATTCACATTGATACCTATAATCTTACTATTATTTCTAAGTCTGATGCCTAATACTTCAACACATAGTATGAAAAGGTATGGAGCTATTGGGTCACCTTGACGACAGCCTCTTTTAATATTTAAAAAAGAAGATAGATTGACCCCCTGATTTACGGCCGCAGTAACATTAGTGTGAAACAATCTGACCCAGTTTCGAATATCATGACCAAAATTGAAATAATTTAAAACTATGTCAACAAATTTCCATGAAACTGAATCAAAAGCTTTCTCAAAATCCAACATTAATAGCATTCCTGGAATATATCTTTCTTCTGCATATTGCATAATGTCATACACTAATCTAGTATTTACTCCAATATAGCGACCTGAAAGAAAACCTGTCTGATCCTCACAAATTAACTTATCTAAAACTGTTCTGATTCTACCTGCTATACATCCTGAAGCTATTTTGTAAACAATATTGAGTAATGTTATGGGTCGCCAATTTTTCAAGAACTGTCTGGGCTTATCTCCCTTGGGAATACAAGTAATAAGACCTTGTCTCTGTGTTACAGAAAGCAAACCTTTACCATATCCAAAATTAATTGATCTAACAATAAAAACTCCTAGCTGCTTCCAAAAGCATTTGAAAAATTCAACTGTAAAACCATCTGTACCTGGACTTTTGTTATTTTTCATGTTTTTCAAAGTTTTTGCTGCTTCTTCTACAGTAATTAACCCTTCTAAATTTTTAGCTTCATCATTATCTAATTTTGGAACATCAAATACATCTAAAAATTCTGTAAAATCAATATCTTCTATTTCACTACTGTCATCATACAATTTTTCATAAAAAGAACGTACCTCCTCAAGAATATCCTCCTGCTGTGTCATTATGACATTAGTTTCTTTCTCTATTTTTGGTACTATTTTAGAGATAAAATTTCTATTTTCTAAATTAAGAAAATATTTAGTCGGCTTTTCACCTTCTTCTTGCCATCTTGCCCTAGATCTTACAATACTACCTCTAATCTTCTTAAGTCTAATATTTTCTAATTCTTTCTTCTTATTTTCTAATTCTTCAGTATCTACTTGCTCTTGTTCCTCCAACCTCTGTATCTCTTTATTAATAATATATTCCAAATTTAGTCAAACTTTGCTCAGTCATTTATGACTAGCATAAGCTAACCAGTCCTTTAGACCAGGTGGGATAAAAGTGCATTTTCTAGATGAATTATTGTTCATTTTAAAAGTCTGATAATTTTTGTGTTAATCCAAAACCCTTTCTTGATGGCATCTTGCTGGTGAAATATCAAAACTCAGGAACTTAGAAGTTAATTAGAAGTTGTTTGAAAAGATTTGACTCCTGTGACCTTAAAGTGGGTAAATTTATTTCGTTGTACTTGATCTGCTTTCAATATCGCATTGGTGAATTGTATTAAAATCTTCAAATAACCTATATTTAATTACTAATAATCAATGAATTTGGCTGAAGATAAATGGTATGAAGTTTGGGATGACCTGAAAGTTACCAGAAATTCTTATGACCTGATAAGCTGCAAAGCAGGTGATTGATACAAACCCATTTTAAATCAATGACAAAATGAATTTGTTTTGTAAAATAAAATATATCATTTCTTGAAACCAGGAAAGGCACTTGAATGGTAACTAGTCCTCTTTATTGTTGATTTAAAAGAAATCACAAATCCTTTTTATGAAATAAATGGTTTATTTACAAATTGACATATTTTTTATCCATATTTCTATTGACATATATCGACAGACAAAAGTTAAATATGAAGAAAAACTATTTCAATACTAACATAGTATTCATTTGTTCAGTAATGATAATGACACAGGGCTGAATGTATACTTCATGCTATTGGTATGTTTTTGGATTTACAAGTTCTTGTTTTCATTTTACTCTTTTTTTTTTCGTAAGTTTTTGAACCATAACCTCCGAATCTTCAAATCCTCTCATTTTGGATTCACTGAAGTAGCACTGATAAGTTACAGACATTAGATGTATATATCCATTTTTAGGGATGTTCACAATATTGTGTGTCAATTCATGTATAACATCCCCTTGACTAACTGTCTATCCAAAATAGAATGGTTCCAGGATTTATCTCTGTAGAATTTGAATCTCATACTTGATGCCTTTTCATGTAAATGATATTGGAGTTTGTTTTGCTGTTAGATGAGAATTACAACATAAAAGGCAAGTCAAGGTTTTTCTCGCCTGTTCCCACATAGATAGAGCCGTACTTTCTACAGCCGGGGATATGGTAGAATACATAGCCTTGCCATAACAGACTGCGAAGGGCCACCAGTCCACTGCCTCGCTCAAACTGTAAACTCCAGGCTCCTGCAGTAATCAAGAGAGTACAAATGTCAAATGTATTTTATATCACAAAGGCTAAACTATGCAAAATTATATAGATAACTCTTGGTGGTCCTTATAAAAATTTGCCATGAGTCTCTCTGTGTGGAGAAACTTGTGAGGTAAGGTCTTCATGTCTTTTAAAATATGATCGAAGAATTAGCCAAACAACCATTCAACACCTTTGTTGAACATGTATAACAATACAGTGTCAAAATCTGTCCAGACTATCAGTGTTCTCTTGAAGTATGCTTTTTATTCCCTAAAATAATAATTGTATTTATAGGCTATTTTGAGATATACTTTGTCAAATTTTGTTGATTGTCAAGGTTCAGTTGAAAGGTCTGGGTCAGGTCAGTGAAGGGCAAAAATAACACAATGTCAGACAGTACAAGTCACACATAGCCATAATACCTTTAGGAATGTCTTCTTCCAAGTTGTCCATAAAGTCAACAGATTTATCCATGTTGGCTTTCTGTAGGAGAGACTTCTCTGGTAGGAGCTTAGGCTCCCTGAAGTGCATGTATGAACAAATCTTAGCAGCTTCAGAAACAACCAGACCTGCGTAGTACAAATCAAACAAATGACTCATCAAAAGAAAGTTGATATTGTTTTCCTATACATATTCATTTAATATTGATTTTTACCCAATGTAATGCACCATCCCAAGGGTCATGAAATGTGTGAAAATCCAGAACTGTGGAGACATCTCAGACAGAAAATCTCAGTATTTCAATCATGGCTTGGTGGACATGAGTTGCAATTATTATATTGTCTTGCATTGATTTCCTTTTTTTAATTCTTTTTTTGATTTTGTAAAGAAAGCTTTTCCATATTTATTATAAATACCTTCAAAACTACGATTTGCTATCACTTCGCCTGTTGGTGTCTGTACGAAAGCTCCTCTTGGAACAATTTTAACATCTTCATCAATTTCTGCAATAACAGATGAAAGTCTGTCTTCTTCTTTGATAGAGATCTGTAATAAGAACAAACAAATAGCTGCTAGATAATCTTCAAAGATTTCTACTACTTCAAAATGCAAAACGAAAAAACTGAACTCCATCTTCTCTTTTTTGACTACATTTTATTTTATTGCAAAATTCATATTGAAATAATGTTCAGTTTTACCAGGCAATAAAAATTGATAGTGCATTCACTCACTGTTTCTTCTTCCTCCTGAGCATCTTCACCTTCACCAACTTTCTTCGTTTCCGTGTGTTCAAACTCGTATGATGGGTCTCCAGTGAAGCGTCCCTTTGCCAGCTTACTTTGGTCACGCATCGCTTTAGTGGCAGGTGGTAACAAACCCCAGTTAACACAGTCTTTGCTACAACAATCAAAAGGTATCATAGTTCCAGAACTGCCTTCAAAAATCCTTTTCCAAGTAGAATTTAAATAAACATGAGATTTTATTCGCTTACCAACCAAAACAACACTTTACACCTTTCAAATTCCAGTCATCTGTTTTTAAACTTGTGACAATCAACAGTTATTGAATCAACACATTTTAGAAATCTTTTGAGAAAACGCATTTTTGTTTATTTCACTATCACAAACTGGCCAGTATTCCACAATTTTTTCAGTCGAAAAATCTTGTTAAAGTATATTTCATAAATTCTATCAGTTGAATTCTTTAAATAAAAAAATGAAATTTGATACAATGCTTCATCTCATATGTATCACATATAAGGTTTTAATGTTAGCTTGGTGATGTATTTTATTTTTCTGAAGTCCAAACACTATAACCAGAATACATAGCAAATACATTTGAACAGTCTCGACGTCTAAAACAAATTATGGATGCAAAATCCACACTCAGAACTATGAACTAGTTAGCTCATAAAACTTAGTTCAGTGCCTACCTGTAAAAGGTTTTCTTGTCAATCATTTCATCCCTGGATACACCCTGTGCGATAAAATAGTCATCTTTCACACCCAAAATTTTACCCCAAAGATAAACCTTGTGGAATTTGTTTTGACTTTGCAGAATGACTAAAGACGTTTGTAAGGCTGCTTTCTGTTCTGGACTGAGAATAACTCCACTGCTTCCGACATAATCAATGTCCAGATGAAGTCCTGATGATTCCATTTTGCCAAAATATGTGCAAATTGTGTTCACTCCTCTCAAATCGACTGGGACAGCAACAGTAGTTTGTGTGTTGCTATGCACTACGCGCATGGCGTAACACGTTTCCGGTTAAGGTTCAATTGTCTATATCATACAAGCGCTTCAACGATCGGCATTTTTCGACCGATTTAGGAAGCATTAAACTGATTCCAACATTGTTTACTTCCCGTCAGTCAGCATGGACCCAGATGTTAGTGTGATGTTTACAGTCCCTGGTCTGTCCCTGATACGACGTTCTGACACAATTGCATGTTTATCTTCAGAATTTAATAGAAAACAACTTGACATATTTGATGTCCAGATAGAATCTATTTGGGAGAAAAGAAGACGTGAAAACCCAAAATTATTCAACGGAACAAAATTCCGTTTGCACTCGGTCTCAGAAGATTCTCATCATAATAGCCCAGACGGTAGAATTACCTTTAACTTAGGTGTAACATGTTATAGAGATTTTATTAGTACTAACTGGGCCCCAAATGCAAAGGAAATATTACAACGAGGCAAACAAGATCATAATAACTCTCAGGCATTCATGTCTGATGCGATGGGAGTAGGTGCCTTGGTACAAACTATTGACAATCATGTTATATTCCTAAAAAGAAGTATCCATTGTGGAGAAGCGAAAGGCCTTTGGGACATTCCAGGAGGACATGCTGAACCACAGGTACATGTGCAGGGCTATTGAGAGTACACGTCACCTTACAAGTCATACAGTAACTAGTGTAAATTTCCCTTAAGTTAACCTGTAGAGTGTCTGGCTAGAGATCAAAAGGTTACTGGTTGAAGTTCCAACAGGGACGAAATATATTCATGTATGACCCCATATTTTGTGTAGTAACTATACTACTGATCGGAAATTTTTTACTAGTCTTTGCAAGAAGCAGTTTCCTTTAAGCAGACGATTTAGTGTATGGCTAGGGCCTTAAAACGCATAGATCATAATTTATACCTCTTTGGCAAGGCATCTTCCTTACTGAATACTCTTTGCAGAATCTGTAGGAGAAGGGGATGCTTATTTTTGTAACATGATTATGCAGTCATGGTTTTTAGCTTTTTTTTAGCAGGTTCAACCAGTGGTATTTAGCTTGAACTTGAAATTATCCTGAAATGATCCGTGATGGCCACTGTCTTGAAATGCACATTTTAAACTCTCAAGTTCAAAAGGTGCCATTGAGTAGAAAATTGGTAGGGATGTCAAGGAAAGAAAACCAACAAGTTGGTGTTATCATTCAGTTTCCTTGAAAAGTTCAATATGGCAGCCACGGTCGCCATTTCGTAATATGATTCTGGCTTCTCCAAACAACACATTTTTTAAATTGCTTCTCAAGTGCTAACATTGAGATTCAGCTAAAACTTGCCTTTATTAATTCTCAGATGGTGCTGACCAAGTTTTTAACTTTCAGGTTTGTCCAAAATTCAATATGGCCACCATGGCAATCATCTTTTAAAAAAAAACATTTTAAACTTTTAAACTGCCCAATTTTTCACTTTTGTCATTGAGCTAAAATGTTGTGAGAATGATAAGAAACTGATTTGAAGAGTATAGTTTTCTTAGGTGACCTGAGCCAAGCTTGGTGACATTTTCTTATTTTTCTTTGACCGCTTTTGTGTGTGTTGTCCATTAATATTCTCACATTTCTGATTTCTTCTTGAAAATAGCATCAATTTCAATAAAATTTTGCATAAGGATTCCATGCTCAATTACTAGTTAAAATTCTAAATTTGGCTTATACTTGTATTTTAAACGTATTCTTTTCAAGATCAAGATACTGCAAATCAAAAAATCATCATGAATGGAAATGTTTTAAGGTGCTTGATTTTTAAATGTCATAACTCCCATAAAAGTGTAGTCAGACTAGAATACTTTGGTAAGCAGGCGAGGGTTGCATAGCAACCTGAACCTGCTAGGGGGAGCTGGGGACATGCTTCCCTGGAAAGTTTGTTTTGTAAAATTGCTTCTCTCTGGTGCACTTGCATATTCTGGCAACAATATTGAAACAGTTTTTGTTATTCAAAAATGTGCAGTAATAGTTATTCATACAACATGTTTTCTCATAATAAAAGCAAGTTCTTGTTGATGATGTTTGTTTGCAGTATAAGATATATTTCTTGATAGTTATTTTATCAAGGATTTTAGGAAATCAAAAGCTTTTTGTAATAGCATTTTATGAATTTCATATGCCTGTCAGCAGGTTGTGTTGTGGTATATCCTGTGCTGTGTGTTCATCTTTAAAATTCAGTTGTGTTCTCATGAATGGCAATTTTATTCCATTGTATTTGGAAGAGTTACTACCCCTTGCTGTTTTCATGATCTTAATAATCTTGCCCGGATATTTTCTCTCAACATTTTCTTTTGTTTTCTACTTGGTAGACTTAATTACATTATATGAGATTTGTTTTCCTTAATGGCATTGTGAATTCACAGTTTTGGAAAAAGTTATTCCCCTTTGACTTTTTAGCATTTTGGTCTTGTCCATACATTTCCTCCCTTGAAACTTGGTAGGCTCTAAAACCTCAACATGAGGTTGTGTTTTTGTACATAGGTCAGCATTTTGGTTTGGCCATATTTCAAAAAGTTGTTGCCTTTTATTCTTTTCAGCATTCTAATCTTGTCTTAGAGATTTCCTTCAGTTCCCTTGCACTTTTCATCTATCTTTTTCATTAACATATATAACACTGTTTCCTCTCTTAACATTTTGACTCATTATTATCATTTCCATATTTGTATCTTTTTGTAGACAATAAATCATACTTCTTCAACATGGAATGGGCATATATTACCCTGCCCCACAATACTCTTGTTTCTGTTAAATTGGAACAATGCATCAATGATTTGCATATTTTACAAGTAGTCCATACAGCACGTCTGTAATATATCTGATTCATTTAGGTAATGCCCAAAGTTACAAAAGATACCAATATTTTGCAAGTAGTTTTGTATTAATTCCCCAATTCAACGGTTACATGTTGCATGTCATTTTTATAATTGACTGTGTGGATACCGTTAACTAAAACACAGGGGTCATTATGAACCATACCACTTTAATTCATGTAGTCAGATGTTCAATTTGGATATTTTCAATCAATGATGACTTCAAATTCAGTTACATGTATACATATATATATATACCTGTAATGTGGAATCAATAATTTTTTATTTTCTTTATTTTATTAAAACCTGACAGAAAAGTATTGTTTCAGATTCATCATGAATTAAATAAAACACAAACATAGACTAACATTGAAGTTGATGGTGAAAAGAAAAGTACAGAATATGAACTACTTCTTAGACTGTATGTTGATAGTTCGACTAGGCAGCTTTAATATTAAATTATTTTGAATTGGTCCATTGCTGGATTCAGGCCACAATAACTCAGCTAAGTGATAAAGATGAGTTACATATTCCAAAACAATTCTTACTCTCTTAGTCTCTTTCTTAATTTGTATCTAAACTGTTTACATATATCGCCACCTAGACATCTTTGTCTTTGTATGAATTTATCATAAACCGTGAAAGTATATGTATTAGGTCACTAATATATATAATTTTCTTAAATTGGCACCTTTGTATGAAACTCATAAAGATGAGATGAGAGGTGTCTCATTTCCCAGTTATAAGGCATATTTCTATTTGTACCAGTCTTGACATAAAAACATTCACCAGTTGATAGTGTTATACCATGATAACCATGTTCTCTACCAACCAGTTGAAGATCTAGAATACACAGTCAATAACAGATAAGCTCTTGTAGACTTGTTTTGGTTTTAAATGCAACCACTATGTAACTTTCAACAGAGGTTTTGTTATGGTTTATAATTTCAGAATCAGCTAGAGTAGGTGTATAATTTGCTTTAACATTTATTGCCCACTAGGGAAGGGGCACATTTTTCCATAGTTTATATAGGAGTATTTTCAGTCAGATGTATTTCAATCTTTATTAGAATTATTGTCATCAGGTAGCAGTCTGATAGTTTAAAAAAAAAAATGCAAACTCCATTTCTGGGGCCAGGAGGGTGGGGCTCAAGGCAAAATTTGCTTATATTTCAAAAGTTTTCTCCAGACTTAAATGCTGTGGAGTACCTAACAAAACTTTCCATTGACAGAAAAGTCCCTAGAAGCTTCGTCAAAATTATAAAGTTTGAAAAACTGAGGAACTCCATTTCCCTCGAGGGAGGGAGTCAATTTTACTGTCGATTTTAATGAAATAGTTAAACTTCTGGCAAAAAAATACTTTTGTTATTTTTTTGTTTTGTTTTGGTTATAAGAAATGATTCTATTTTTATTTGTATTGTACTCAGATAGCAGTTTGTAACAAAAACATGTTAGGACTCGGATGACCAGTAATGCCCACTGTCATCTTGTTACTTTTCCTGCTAAAATTGAAACTTGTTTCAAACATCTAATAACTGTTCCCTGTATCACTTGTGCTATTATGATCAGATGATTGTAAAAGCCAATGGAGCCTCTTGTTTCATAGTTTTATTATTTGCGGGAAATAATGAAAGTATGAAGAGAAAATTGTGTCTTCTTTTGGGGAGGCAAGGAAGTATCATTTATTATATATATATTACAATATATAAATATTTCATTCTTGTCATGAATTATACATTTGGTTATATTTGTTTTCAATTTGAAGTGATACAGACTTTGTAAGCCAGCTGTGATACTTCTTTCATTTCACCATTGCTTACTCACAAAGTCTTAGTGGCAAAGTCTAATTGCCAACTCACATAGTCTTAGTGGCAAAGTCTAATTGCCAACTTACATAGTCTTGGTGGCAAAGTCTAATTGCCTACTTATATAGTCTTAGTGGCAAAGTCTAATTGCTAACTCACATAGTCTTATTGGCAAAGTCTAATTGCCTTCTCCCATAGTCCTAGTGGCAAAGTCAGATTGCCTACTCCCATAGTCAAAGTGGCTTAGTTGAATAGTCTTAGTGGCAAAGTCTAATTGCCTTCTCCCATAGTCCTAGTGGCAAAGTCAGATTGCCTACTCCCATAATCTTAGTGGCAAAGTCAAATTGCCTACTCCCATAGTCTTTGTGGCAAAGTCAAATTGCCTACTCCAATAATCTTAGTGGCTAAGTCAAAATGCCTACTCCAATAGTCCCAAGTGGCAAAGTCTAATGGCCTACTCCCATAGTCTTATTTGCAAAGTCTAATTGCCTACTCCCATAGTCTTAGTGGCTAAGTCAAATTGCCTACTCCCATAGTCTTAGTGGCTTAGTCAAATGGCCTACTCACATTGTCTTAGTGGCAAAGTCAAAATGCCTACTCCAATAGTCCCAAGTGGCAAAGTCTAATGGCCTACTCCCATAGTCTTATTTGCAAAGTCTAATTGCCTACTCCCATAGTCTTAGTGGCTAAGTCAAATTGCCTACTCCCATAGTCTTAGTGGCTTAGTCAAATGGCCTACTCACATTGTCTTAGTGGCAAAGTCAAAATGCCTACTCCAATAGTCCCAAGTGGCAAAGTCTAATGGCCTACTCCCATAGTCTTATTTGCAAAGTCAAATTGCCTACTCCCATAGTCTTAGTGGCTAAGTCAAATTGCCTACTCCCATAGTCTTAGTGGCTTAGTCAAAATGCCTACTTCCATAGTCTTATTTGCAAAGTCTAATTGCCTACTTCCATAGTCTTATTTGCAAAGTCTAATTGCCTATTCCCATAGTCTTAGTGGCAAAATCTAATTGCCTACTCTCATAGTCTTAGTGGCTAAGTCAAATTGTCTTCTCCCATAGTCTTAGTGGCAAAGTCTAATTGCTTACTCCCATAGTCTTAGTGGCAAAGTCAAATTGCCTACTCCCATAGTCTTAGAGGCAAAGTCAAGTTGCCTACCTCCATAATCTTAGTGGCAAATTTAATTGCCTACTTCAATAGTCTTAGTGGCAAAGTCTAATTGCCTATTCCCATAGTCTTAGTGGCAAAGTCAAATGACCTACTCCCAAAGTCTTAGTGGCAAGGTCAAATTGCCTACTTCTATAGTCTTGGTGGAAAAGTCAAATTGCCTACTCCCATAGTCGTGGTGGCTAAGTCAAATTGCCTACTTCAATAGTCTTTGTGGCAAAGTCAAATTGCCTACTCCCATAGTCTTAGTGCAAAGTCAAATTGCCTACTCCCATAGTCTTAGAGGCAAAGTCAAGTTGCCTACCTCCATAATCTTAGTGGCAAAGTCAAATTGCCTACTACCATACTCACAATAGCAAGGTCAAATTAATACAGCATGAGCTTTCTTTTTCAATCCCGTAGATGTTGGCATCAGATATCTCTCATCAGTATTGTAGTTACAATGTAAACAGGTTTCAATTGTTAATAAGCTAATTTATGCAATACAAACAATAAAAATGACAGTAATTACAGAACTCAGGTGACTGCAGGCTATAGTGGGGTCTCCATACAACAATCCTCACTTATTACCATATATAAGCTAAGTGTAGTGTTGAATTTTGGGTCAGATTTGATTCAAGACTTAAGAATAATTAATGATTGAAATAAAAAGTTCTCTACAGCATATGAGATAAACATTTTCAGGAGTTGGTTGGAAAACTTCCAGTTGAAAACATTGACGTGACAAAACTGGATCCTGTCAAGGTGATAGAAGAAATGTTTGATTCTATAAAAAGAGAGGTAATAGATGAAGTTAACATTCCCCATGCCTGCTTGTCTGAGCCAGAACTATGTGGAATTGCCAGGAATACAACAGCTGCTGGCAGACCTAGCGTGGAATTTGTTATCAGGTGAGAATACTTTCGTTTAGTGCCTAATTGTTGTGCTTAGTATAACTAAATGTTTTGCTAAAGAATCTTAGAGAAACACAATTAAGAAATAAGATAATATATTACATGAACACCTATGTGTGTAGCTTTATATTACCATTTCTTTTTAAATATACTAATGCAAATATATTTATTAAACTCTTACTTAATAAATCAGATGCTCTCTGAATGCTGAAGAGGTCAAGGCCAAATATCGCCAAGGTAACCAGTCTGAAGCAGATGAATCCACCAATATATGCTTACTACCCTTTGATGAGGTGATAGAGATGAAATCAGGAGATGATTTCTGGCAAAATATGGCTCCTTCTGCTAAAGGCTGTATTGTACTTTACCGTCTATACTACAGAAAAATCATGGACTCCAGACATTCTGATCAAGAGTGATATTTCAGGATTTATGATATCTTGGATTTTTCTTTTTTTAGTGCACTTAGCTGGGTAGCTGGGTATTATATTTTTTAATTGAATTGTACATATAGATTGAATGTTATTGTTAATGTTATGGGGCCAATAGTATATAATGCATAATTGTTGATGTTATAGGACCAGTGGAGTGAAATGTGTGTTATTGTTGATGATATGGGACCAGTGGAGTGAAATGTGTGTTATTGTTGATGTTATGGGACCAGTGGAGTGAAATGTGTGTTATTGTTGATGTTATGGGACCAGTGGAGTGAAATGTGTTACTGTTGTTGTTATGGGACCAGTGGAGTGAAATGTGTTACTGTTGTTATGGGACCAGTGGAGTGAAATGTGTGTTATTGTTGATGTTATGGGACCAGTGGAGTGAAATGTGTTACTGTTGTTGTTATGGGACCAGTGGAGTGAAATGTGTTACTGTTGTTATGGGACCAGTGGAGTGAAATGTGTCTTATTGTTGATGTTATGGGACCAGTGGAGTGAAATGTGCGTTATTGTTGATGTTATGGGACCAGTGGAGTGAAATGTGCGTTATTGTTGATGTTATGGGACCAGTGGAGTGAAATATGTGTTATTGTTGATGTTATAGGACCAGTGGAGTGAAATGTATTATTGTTGATGTTATGGGACCAGTGGAGTGAAATGTGTTATTGTTGATGATATGGGACCAGTGGAGTGAAATATGTGTTATTGTTGATGTTATGGGACCAGTGGAGTGAAATGTGTTATTGTTGATGTTATGGGACCAGTGGAGTGAAATGTGTTACTGTTGATGTTATGGGACCAGTGGAGTGAAATGTGTTATTGTTGATGTTATGGGACCAGTGGAGTGAAATGTGTTATTGTTGATGTTATGGGACCAGTGGAGTGAAATGTGTGTTATTGTTGATGTTATAGGACCAGTGGAGTGAAATGTGTGTTATTGTTGATGTTATGGGACCAGTGGAGTGAAATGTGTTATTGTTGATGTTAGGGACCAGTGGAGTGAAATGTGTTATTGTTGATTTTAGGGACCAGTGGAGTGAAATGTGTGTTATTGTTGATTTTAGGGACCAGTGGAGTGAAATGTGTGTTATTGTTGATGTTATGGGACCAGTGGAGTGAAATGTGTGTTATTGTTGATGTTATGGGACCAGTGGAGTGAAATGTGTTATTGTTGATGTTATGGGACCAGTGGAGTGAAATGTGTTATTGTTGTTGTTATGGGACCAGTGGAGTGAAATGTGTGTTATTGTTGATGTTATGGGACCAGTGGAGTGAAATGTGTGTTATTGTTGATGTTATGGGACCAGTGGAGTGAAATGTGTTATTGTTGATGTTATAGGACCAGTGGAGTGAAATGTGTTACTGTTGATGTTATGGGACCAGTGGAGTTAAATGTGTGTTATTGTTGATGTTACGGGACCAGTGGAGTGAAATGTGTTTTATTGTTGATGTTATAGGACCAGTGGAGTGAAATGTGTTACTGTTGATGTTATGGGACCAGTGGAGTGAAATGTGTGTTATTGTTGATGTTATAGGACCAGTGGAGTGAAATGTGTGTTATTGTTGATGTTATGGGACCAGTGGAGTGAAATGTGTTATTGTTGATGTTATGGGACCAGTGGAGTGAAATGTGTGTTATTATTGATGTTACGGGACCAGTGGAGTGAAATGTGTTTTATTGTTGATGTTATAGGACCAGTGGAGTGAAATGTGTTACTGTTGATGTTATGGGACCAGTGGAGTGAAATGTGTGTTATTGCTGATGTTATAGGACCAGTGGAGTGAAATGTGTGTTATTGTTGATGTTATGGGACCAGTGGAGTGAAATGTGTTATTGTTGATGTTATGGGACCAGTGGAGTGAAATGTGTGTTATTGTTGATGTTATAGGACCAGTGGAGTGAAATGTGTGTTATTGTTGATGTTATGGGACCAGTGGAGTGAAATGTGTTATTGTTGATGTTATAGGACCAGTGGAGTGAAATGTGTTACTGTTGATGTTATGGGACCAGTGGAGTGAAATGTGTGTTAATGTTGATGTTATGGGACCAGTGGAGTGAAATGTGTTATTGTTGATGTTATAGGACCAGTGGAGTGAAATGTGTTATTGTTGATGTTATGGGACTAGTGGAGTGAAATATGTTATTGTTGATGTTATGGGACCAGTGGAGTGAAATGTGTGTTATTGTTGATGTTATGGGACCAGTGGAGTGAAATGTGTTATTGTTGATGTTATGGGACCAGTGGAGTGAAATGTGTTATTGTTGTTGTTATGGGACCAGTGGAGTGAAATGTGTTATTGTTGATGTTATGGGACCAGTGGAGTGAAATGTGTGTTATTGTTGATGTTATGGGACCAGTGGAGTGAAATGTGTGTTATTGTTGTTGTTATAGGACCAGTGGAGTGAAATGTGTGTTATTGTTGATGTTATAGGACCAGTGGAGTGAAATGTGTTATTGTTGATGTTATGGGACCAGTGGAGTGAAATGTGTGTTATTGTTGATGTTATAGGACCAGTGGAGTGAAATGTGTTATTGTTGATGTTATGGGACCAGTGGAGTGAAATGTGTGTTATTGTTGATGTTATGGGACCAGTGGAGTGAAATGTGTTATTGTTGATGTTATAGGACCAGTGGAGTGAAATGTGTTACTGTTGATGTTATGGGACCAGTGGAGTTAAATGTGTGTTATTGTTGATGATATGGGACCAGTGGAGTGAAATGTGTTTTATTGTTGATGTTATAGGACCAGTGGAGTGAAATGTGTTATTGTTGATGTTATGGGACCAGTGGAGTGAAATGTGTTGATGTTATGGGACCAGTGGAGTGAAATGTGTTATTGTTGATGTTATAGGACCAGTGGAGTGAAATGTGTGTTATTGTTGATGTTATGGGACCAGTGGAGTGAAATGTGTGTTATTGTTGATGTTATGGGACCAGTGGAGTGAAATGTGTTATTGTTGATGATATGGGACCAGTGGAGTGAAATGTTTTATTGTTGATGTTATGGGACCAGTGGAGTGAAATGTGTTACTGTTGATGTTATGGGACCAGTGGAGTGAAATGTGTTACTGTTGATGTTATGGGACCAGTGGAGTGAAATGTGTTATTGTTGATGTTATGGGACCAGTGGAGTGAAATGTGTTATTGTTGATGTTATGGGACCAGTGGAGTGAAATGTGTGTTATTGTTGATGTTACGGGACCAGTGGAGTGAAATGTGTGTTATTGTTGATGTTATAGGACCAGTGGAGTGAAATGTGTTACTGTTGATGTTATGGGACCAGTGGAGTGAAATGTGTGTTATTGTTGATGTTATAGGACCAGTGGAGTGAAATGTGTGTTATTGTTGATGTTATGGGACCAGTGGAGTGAAATGTGTTATTGTTGATGTTATGGGACCAGTGGAGTGAAATGTGTGTTATTGTTGATGTTATGGGACCAGTGGAGTGAAATGTGTGTTATTGTTGATGTTACGGGACCAGTGGAGTGAAATGTGTTATTGTTGATTTTAGGGACCAGTGGAGTGAAATGTGTTATTGTTGATGTTATGGGACCAGTGGAGTGAAATGTGTGTTATTGTTGATGTTACGGGACCAGTGGAGTGAAATGTGTTATTGTTGATTTTAGGGACCAGTGGAGTGAAATGTGTTATTGTTGATGTTATGGGACCAGTGGAGTGAAATGTGTGTTATTGTTGATGTTAGGGACCAGTGGAGTGAAATGTGTTATTGTTGATGTTATAGGACCAGTGGAGTGAAATGTGTTATTGTTGATGTTATGGGACCAGTGGAGTGAAATGTGTTATTGTTGATGTTATGGCACCATTGGAGTGAAATAAATATAAAGAAATTGTTATTATTAATATTAAATTACATTAAGGGTTATATTTTCCTTAAATGTACTGTCTTCCAAACAACAGTGTGGTGGTAAGGGTGCATGAAGTTATCTTCTCCCCATAAGAATACTTTTTTATAGTTGTGTTGTTATAAGTACAAGAGCTAGCTGTGAATATTAAAATTTTGTACTGGCACTCATTTCTGCCATAAAAATTTCCTCAACTTGTACTATATTTTTTGATTACCAGATGGTGGGCTGTTAAATGTCCATGGCAACATCCACCTCTCTGTCCATGGTTATGTATCTGCCTTTCGATCCTTACAACAATTTCTGTTATTACTATTACTAGAGAAGAACTTGATGGATCTTTCCTATTATTTTACATGTAGAGTACCCTTTTCTCTCATTGTGCCATATTGATTTTAGGACAGATAGAAAAGACTTTTGAAATACTGGAGTTATCTGCCCCTAATGTTGCATGTAGGTTCAATTAGCCTCTATTTGTGTCCATTTGATTTTGGGACTGATAAAAAAAACAAAATGGTGACCAAGCGGCTATCATGAGTTTTGACAATAGAAATTTGTTATGGCTATTTCCTGAAATATACCGATTGATCTTCCTCTAGTTTTATTGGTAGGTTTCTTAAGGTCCCTGGTTGTGCTCTTCTGATTTTTGGAATGATCAGAAAGATAAAATTGCTGACAGGCAATCGTGATTGATTAACAGTTTAAGATTTTACTTGCTTTTTTTAGAGAAATTTTCAAATTACTTAACAGCATACAAGAGGAAAGAAGAGAACAGTAGATCAAATACTAAACTTTTTTAGAACAAATGGCAATCAAACAGTGGTCAGTGTAAAAACCCCTTTGGAATTTCAAGTTTTTTTCTGAATATGGGCATGGTGTGGCATTGGTCTCCTTCCTGTTTCCCATCCAGCTGACACCAGCATTTCATTTTAAACAGTTACTTAAGATTAGGTGATTAACATGCATGGATTAAAGACTCAAATTTTCAAGGTCACAGGAGTCAAACATGTTACATAAGTGTATTACCGTTGATAACTTCTGAAAAACTAAGAAGCCTTGGATCATATTTGGTCAGTGGCATGGATGGTTGGATAAAGGATTAATCAGGTTTGTT